TATATATATATATGTATATATGTATATATATATATATGTATATATATATGTATATATATATATATATGTATATATATATGTATATGTATATATATATATATATATATATATACATTGTATTGCGTACCCATAATAAGACTCTTCATTTTGATATACCTGTAAATGTAGAATGTATATTATAAATAAGCGACTTCAGTGGCACTGAGAGTTGTAAGTGGTATACAAGTTCTTGGAGTTGAAGGCTGCAGGTTTGAATAATATTCCTTGGGTGATATCCTACCCAAGAAAGGGTGATGAATGTTTCATTAGGTACCAACCTCCTCTCATGCCCGAGTTCTGAATTGAGTATGGTAGTCATCTCACTTTACAAGGACTAAATCATCATTTTTATTTAATAATTATTACCAAAATTAGTTTTGTGATAATGTTGAAATGAGATTGAATCATCATCATGCACTGTTGGTGTTTAGGCTTAACAACCTGCCCCATTATAATCATTCATAAATAATCCTTCTTATATTTAAGCTATTCACTCTCTTTTCTTCAACAGTTTGTTTGAGGACATGGCAGTTGGTTTGATGAGAAAAGTGATGACTGCAAATGTGGAAAAGTGTTTTAAGGTCTTAATTTTTTTTTTTTATCTTCTTGTTTTTAGTTGAGAGTAAAGGTAAAATAGCAGATTTGGAGAAACATGTATCTTCTCTGGAGGCTACTGTGAAGAATCTTGAAAAAACTAAAGCAGATGTATGTAGCTTAATAGTTTTGTCTTAGTAGACTATTTTGTAACTGAAACAAAATAACTATATATTTACCATCTTTTTTGAAATGGACAAGTTATTCTAAAAAGAGTATTATTATATTGGCATGTTTTCTTGAGCTCTGTAATCCCCACCCTCTCTCCTTTTTCAATACAATTGAATTATGAATAAAAGAGAGCAATGAATGTTGTTGACAACTTTCTTCTTTAGAATTTGCTTTGTCTAGCAAGTTACAGATTGATTTCATAGAAATGTCATTGAAAATTTCTTACTCCTTACCCATCTTTTGAAATGAGAGCTCAAAAAAATGTGCACAGATTCTAGTAGCAAACTCATTAGTGAGAAATCATTGCAAATCTTGTCAATATAATGGTTTAGATCAAGAAAATAAAATTCTAAGATACTATTAACCTTCATTTGCTATTTTAAACTTGCCATTTTGGGGGAAAATTGGAACCAAAAGTAATTTCTAAAAGTAGAAAGGCTGTTTTCTAAAACTTTTCTTAATTTTATGTTTTTCAATGTATATTAGCTTTAAATGTTGTTACATGTATAGTTGTCAGAAAAACTGGAAGCTAGTAAAGAATCTGTGGAAGATCTTCACCAGAAAATCACATTGCTGGAAAGGGGGAGTCTGAACAACACAGACAAACACTTGGATGCATTTCTACGAAATGTACAGAAAATGCACAGTCAGCAAATAAAAAAGCTGGAAGATGAACTAGCTCTTGCTGTATCCAAACTAAGTGCAAAGGTTAGTTCTTGTAAATATATTCTAATCTGTAATAGTGTAAGTTTGGAGAGTTATTATTGGATTTTATTTCAAATTGGAGAGACAAATTTTCAGTAAACACGTTATTGATCAGTCTCTGTTCTAACAAAAGACCAATGATCGTTTGAGTTTTTAGGTGGGAATACATTTTTACTAAATTCCTATCTTTGAACTTCTTAGGTGCAAAACATTTTTCTAAGTATTATGATGACACACAATTGAAAATTAAGACAAATTCATTACTCTTTTGTGTTATTTTAAGTAGTGGAAATATTAATCTTAAATTAAGGGCTAGAATTTTGAGAGCAAAGTGTCATGCTTCTGATATTTTTTCTTGAATGCGTGGGTGCAACTTGGAATAATGTTGGGAGGTGTGATAGGGAACAAAATTCATCAACCTAATAAATGGGAAGTGTCAAGTGGAAGTAAAAAGAAGGGGAAATAAAAGAAATAGTGAAGAAAAAAATTTTCTCTCAGAATGTACAAAGTGATTTATTCCCTGTGTAAAGCATCACTTGCATCAAACTGTCAGTGCTGTTGAATCACTGGCCCCAGGAAGCTGCCTTCAGAAGGGTAGTGTTCTCTCTCTCTGTCTCTCATATTTAGTGTGTTGCATTGTAAGAAATGTTGAAAGATTGTTTCATGGAATGGAAAGGGTCCTTCTTTTTTTATCTTCCCCCTACATTTCTTTTTTCACACATTTTCATTTATTTCTAATTATTTGTGTATATAAAAAAAGTTTTAAATCATGTTTAACATTTCATTAATATATTTTAAAACATTTTACATGCATTTGAAAATCTAATAACTCTTGAAAAATAGAAGTAGAGGTGGGGAGCAACTTTCCCTATCTAAGTCTGTCTATGTATGTACAAATGTAACATGAACACAACTGAATATTCGAATTGATTTTCCACATAGAAATTTTATTTAACACGGCATGTGATTTGGCTTGGAAATTCTCGACTGTTCACTGCAGTGAATTTGAAGTGTTTTTCTAGAGAGGAGACTTTTATTCAATTTATTACAATACCACAATTTTTTTATTGTCTTCTTGTATATTTTTTATGTTTTGGTTTTTGAAATTTTATTAAAACCATTTACCTTATTTAGGAGTCAGAACTCGAACAACAGAAACAAGATGCAATTCAACGCCAACAACAGTTAGAAGCTCGACTTGCTGAGAAAGGTGACACTGTCAATCAAATGGCTCGCAGTTTGGAGGAGGCTCAGCGTCAGTGCCAGAATTTGATGACTCAGGGTGCTGCGCAGGAAGTAGCACATTTACGACTGAAATTAGGTGCAACAGAAAGTGAATGTAAAGCACTTACTGAACGAATGCAAGTTTCCCAGGTAAAATAGCTGTTTAATGCAATACTTTTGTTTCCATTGAAATAAGGAAGTTCATTTTGTTAGAAGTTGGTTAGAATAAATGTAGTATGTTATGAACAAGAGCCTCTTTTACCTTCAATTCACATTTATTGACGTCTTGGCATTAATCTCTACTCTGAAGTGAAAGGACGATGTATTCTATTTTCATTTTTGTTCTTCAAAAGAGGGGAATAACTTGTGTTCAACATTTCAGAATGGTGTCTCTGATAATTGAGTGAATGCAAGTCTCACTGTTTTTATTTATTTATATATTTATTTATTCATTAGCTGAAGTACCTCGTATTGCCGGGGTACTTATCACAATAGTTATTAGACAGGAAGAGGTATTCCATCTGCCGCAGAGTCTTCTTGTATTTATTCTATTCTATCCTGCTCCGTCTTGGCCAACCTCCCTGTGCCTTGCTCCCACCTGGATATACCATGTCTTCCTCACTCACTTTCTCGCTAAAAGTTATTGTATTTTTTAATGGGATTTTCGCCTCCAAACTCTCTTTATAACTCAAATAATAAACAAATTCATTCTAAAAAATAAAATACATGTACTCACATATTGTTTTTGTGGAATTTTATATATTATTCCCACACTTTCAATCAGTTGTCACATTGTAAAACGTATTCTTTTTCATGTTTTTTTCTTATCGAGTATTTATAAAGAAAAGTTTGAAATTGATCTTTCACCGCACGCCATGCCATTGAAATATACATATAAATAAAGTGCTATTAATAGTGACTAATAAATAGTGGCTGACGGAAAGATGTCATTAACCACTTAGGACCGGATGTATGAATGAAGGATAAAACTGGTTGGTTAGCCTCAAGTATTGTTTATCCCTGGGTTAGATGGGGCATCAAGTTGTACGACACAACTTCAACAGTGTTACATAATCATTGAATAAGCGGAGTGAAAGTTTGTTGACAAAACTGGTGATTGTCATTTGTTAAAACAAAAGCTTTAGTTTCTCTGCCATGTTTCATTTATTTAAGGTGGTTAGAGTGAGATACGCGTTACGTTTAACATGTCTTTTTTATTGTACTAATGGAAAGAAGAGAGGTTCTTCTATGTTTTGAATGTTATGAATCGATTTCACTGTCTAGTTTTCGAGTAAGAAGATTGTAAATTTAACTTGGGCTCTTATGGTGACCTGACAGAGCTGACCTGAAAATTTAAAATTGTTTTGGGTTTAGTTATTAAAAATGGTTTAGTCATGCACTGCTTTTGGCAAGCGGGCAACAGTATTCTGAATTTTCAAATCAGCACCGCACACAGTTCGTACATTTAATGAGAATGTGCCATCTCTCCCTCTGTAATTTTATGAACTGAACTCCAACTGAGCATTTTAATGTCGGTGTAGTCAATAGCGTCAATTACTCTAGGGAAAGTCGCTTTCTCTTAAAACTCTTTTTGTACACGATTCTTTTCCATTGCACTTTCGGGGAGGTGTATACATTTTGGCCCTAATTTGGCTATTGCATGCCTTAATTCTTTATTATCCTTCATGCAGTATTTTATCCTGGTCACAAAAATCTCTAATGCGATTACAAATGATTCAGTAGCATATCTTGATGTCGTTAGGGGCTGGATTATAGGAGGTACATACTGATTCCTGCAAGACAAACAATCTGTACGTACTGATATTTTTGAACTGTACTAAGCCAAACATTTGACAACTTGTAAGTTCCAAATATAATAAACAATAGAACGTATTTGATACAGAACTAATATTTCGTGGACTTTCCTGTTTGCATTCTATTCAATGTCATTATAATCATCAATAATTCAAGTACAGTTAGCTTATTTAACCTGACTCTTGCAAAAAAAATCACCATCATATTAATTCAGCAAGTCTGACATCCTCTGCACTTTCCTCAACTTTCAACTTTGTTAATACATACATCTGGAGCATTTCTTCTTCTTCTTCTTCTTCTTCTTCTTCTTCTTCTTCTTCTTCTTCTTTTTCTTCTTTTTCTTCTTTTTCTTCTTTTTCTTCTTCTTTTTCTTCTTCTTTTTCTTCTTCTTTTTCTTCTTCTTCTCTCTTATCAGACTGCAACATACTCAAACAAATACTTCACAATTTTGCACTCTTCAGCCAAGATGTGCTACAGGTTTTGCTATTATTCAGCCGGCAATATGTGGTGTAAAGGTTAATACTCTGTTAACCACCAGTTAAGTACATGCGATGTCATAGGGTAACTTAACAATTTGTTATCTTTCAGTGAACACGTATCCTGTTTTACAACCGATTTAAGCGCTAACAGCATGATAAAAATTATCCCAAGTTTATTCTGTGTTCGTTCTACTGGCCCTCTGACAATTATAATATCTCCAAAATCTGGTTCTATTTTCAACAACCTTGAAAATTAACGTTGACACACATTTAATTCTTTCTATTTCTCATAACTGTTTTACTTCACTTATACTTCTTGCCGAGTTTACTCTCATCAAAACAATTTCCAAGAACTCTTTCCAAACATTTCATATATGAATGAGTATACTTCTCTCTTGTGTACTTAATACAATTAAAATCAATATCCAAGTTACTTTTATAAATAGAGTGAAAAAAAAAATAGTCGGGATTATTCTTAAATATAATCATTTTGCATTAAACAGTTGAGGGAAAATTTGACAAAGTCCTCAGCAATTCTACAGAAATTCGCAATTCTGTGAATTGATGAACTCAAACCCTGTTTCCCTGAACAAAAACTCCAGTTTTACGCTGTGAATAGACATCAGCCTCTGGTGGTGCACAGTTAAACAAATAAACATTGATACTCTCTTGAATTTATAATGTAAATGCTAGGTGAAAAAACCGCAGAAAAGTAATTATTTTGTGATTTTATTAAGGTTTATGGTTGTAAATCATAGTCTATAGCACTTCTGACCTTTAAAGGAAGCTAGCCTACAAGTTTCATCGATATTGGTCCAGTATATTCAGAGATTATCACGCTGTAATGCAACGCCTTTGTGTCTTTATATAGTAGTATATATTCATTTAACGATTTTGTACAATTTATAAGTCTGTCAACACAAAATCTTCTAAGGGGTCATTCATAAATTACTTATCAATGATAGTTTTATTTTATTTTATTTTTTCTTCATCAATATACATGAATTATATTCAGTCTTAAATTAAGATAAAACATTAATGTATTAATAAATAAATTATTTTACTGGACATCTCTTTGTATGTAACAATGTGATGTGGCAATTTCTACCACATTAGCTGTTGGATATTCCCCTGAAGTGTTTCAATGAACAATGGGAATAATCTGGGTCTGTGCAACATGTTTGTGAACTGATAAAAAATTCCTATCTTATGTTTCACTATTCAGAACAGCACGTTGTTCTGAACCACTCAATTATAGAAATGGTCAACAAGGATTGGTCAAGGTAATATCAATGCTTTCTGCAGCATTGTTGTGGGCAGGTACATTGTCGTGATGGAAGATGATTTTTTCTTTGGAAGACCAGGCTTCTTTTCTCAAATCTTCATCAAACTGTTGTTAGCAGGTTAGAATAGTATTGTCCAGTTATTGTTTTACCTTTTTTCAGATAATCAATAAAGAGAGTACCTTTCGCATCCCAAAACACTAATGACATTACCTTTCCTGCAGATGGCACCATCTTTGCCTTCTTTGCAGCTGACTTCTATCCACTGCTAGGATTGTTGTTTTGACTCTGGTGTGTAACAATGAATCCATGTTTTATCTAGTCTCATATCTATGCAAAAAATAATTTTTGTTTTTCTTAAAACAAGGTATGCACCCTCTGCTCCTCATAATATTTTTGTCCAATAGATATTTTCATATGTATGTGGGTGACAAGGTATCCTGGGGTCACCCCTTGGAAAACTGTTCTTTACGGATCAATTCTAAGTGTCACTCTCTGTTTGCCATTGCCATTAACAACATAGCTACTATTGTACACAAACTAGTTAAAACATTGCTATTTGCAGATCTTTTATTTGTCCAAAAGCCTAAATGTCATTCAGAGGCAGCTTCAACTTGTCCTTAATAGACTACATCAATGGAGCAAGTTTAAGAGTTTCAAATTTTCAATGTGAAAAATGTGTTGCAGTTCTGCATAATCCACCAAGCCCATACTAACTCACAGATTTTCCTAGGTGGTCAATGGATGCCATTTGATGATAACCATCTAGGAATCGGACAATGCTTTTTTTCTGGGACTTGACTTTAACAGATCCCTGATGTGGTGCAACCATATCCATAGGTGTATCTATTTGTTTCTTCTCTCAATCTCTCCTGCATACTTCGTGTGACTTCTTGGGAGCAGACCAGATTTGCCTTCTGCGGTGGTATAGAACATTTGTCTGCTCAGTATTGGACAATGACAATATTCTGGATGCGCTTTTCACATCAACTCTTCGCCTTTTGAACACTATTCACAACTTTGGCAATTGCGTAGCCCTTGAAGGCTATTGCACCAGCAGCATTGTTTCCTGGCAAACCACCTTTGAGAAGATGTTGCAATATTCTTCTTGCAGCTAATGGTGGGAAACTTTCCGACCTCCTCAATCATCCAATCCATTAGGTTATCCTGCACCCTAACCAACAGGCTTTATGCTCTTATTTTCCGGGTTCCTTTTCCGGAAATTGTTGAAGGGCCTCAATGTTCTCCTCCCCTTGCTCATGAAACTCTTTTGCAACCCTATTTCTCCCTGGAAACTCCTTTTCTTTATTGTGAGCCCAAATCTGTGCAATCTCCCCAGCCACTGGGTAAGACAATGGGCTTAAAAAATTGTTTGACAGATGTTAATTGAATTAAATTTTCTCTATGAAACACAAGTTATGTCCACGATGCGAGCCCTGAGGAATATCTGACATATCCCTAGATATAAGTGTTTTGATATTAACACTTTGAACTCTATCAATCAAATAGTTTTCAATTGTTGTGAGTAAAGTTTTCTCACATTTAGTGAATTTTTCATTGTGGAACTATGGTGTCGAAAACCATGTTGCTCATAAATAAGTACGCTATTTAAATTCAGTGTTAATTTGCCACTTATTATTGATTCAAATAACTTTGTCTCAATTTGGAAATAGGTGTTCAATTCATTACATTCTATTGTTCATTTGCTGTATCAATGGGAGTTATGAAGGTTCTTTTCCATACCAATTAAAAGAAATCTTCATTCTGTAATTTTACAAAAAGGTGGTGAAATATTAAAATACATTTGTTACACAATAAGATCACATCATGGAAAACATTTACTTTGTTGAATATATTTCTGACAATTATGTCAATAATTGCCTCCTCAATAAGGTGACAGGGTGGCCGCAGTTGAGGATCATTTTCATTAAAGTATGCTCTAAGATTAAAGTGCTTACATTGATTTTAACATTACATTATTATTTCCCCTAATCAATTTGGAACAAAGATTCATGTTTATTATTTCATTGAATTTTGAGTTATTCATCATTTTTTAAAGAGAATTTTAAGTTCATTGACATGTCCACTTCGCAGGAATTAATTTCTGGTGTGTGTCTCCTTTGTAGCAAACTCATCCTTTACAATGGAAATAAAATTTCATTATGAAAAACCTGTGTTACAATAAAGTGACCTGACTTTGTACTTGTCCTTAATTGTACTTGCATGTCAACCTTCTTTCCAGAGAGAGATGGATGCCCTTCGTGTGGAGCTGAAGCAATATGAGTCAGTCCTCAAAGAAGAATTACTACAAGAAGCTCCAGATGGGACATCTGACTCTCTGCTTGCTATGGGATTAAGCGGCAATAGTGGTCAGCTGCGAAACGAGCTGCAACGAGCTTTACTAGGTGGGATGTAAATAGAAATGAAAAGAAATAGAATGTGATTAGTTCAGGGAAATAGAAAATAACATTAAGATTTAACTCTAAGAATTATTCTCCTTAATTATATGATTACAGTGTTTTTATTTTAATACTACCTGATTACTCAGCCTTGCCGAAATATTTATTTAATGGTTTTTATCTGTATAATCAATTAAACAGCCCCTTACACTCTGCCTCGATGACTTGGTCATCTCATCTGCTCTGCCCACTCCAGCCCCACTGTCTTCTGCTGTACCTGCCCTAAATGCATTATGTGCATAACAAGTTTCAAAAACATATTACCTACAAATGTCACCTTCTCTCTATCATCTCTAAGTGTGCTAGAGGTATAGTACACCCAGCGAAAAATTTTCTCCTTTGTAAATAAATGTATACCCTAAAAATGGGTGTCATCGAACACTTTTTACAGTTATTGTTTAAAACTTTTATGTTAAAAGATTGTCACTCAGTAACATCAAAATTCTAATGATGTAATTTAATAATTCTTTTTAATTGAAAATTCTTTTACTCTCCCCTCTTTCCTTTCAGAAAGAAGATAATACAGTCATATTGCTAAAGTTTCACAGTATGCACAGGTTTATCGGTAACCTCATAATTTTAGAAATATGATGAATTGATGAGTTAAAAAATTCTGGCATCGTCCCATCACATGTTGCTACAATTTATAAGTTTACCTTTTTTTTCTGTGAATTATCCTAAGAATATTGAATATTCCAAATTAAGGAAATAAAACAAGTTTGTTTGTGTCCAACAATTTGAAACAAAGAATGTTAAATAAACAATATAGTTTTGCCTGTGTCTCAAAAACCGATTCCAAAAGATTGTTCTTCAGTATTATATCAACCTTTCTTTTTATTTGGTGTTCGTTACAACTTTGAAGTATGATTTTTCTAAATAGTTTTTTCATCTCACACAGTTCGAAACCCTTTTAACTTATATATATTCTGAAGAGGTAATATTTCAAAATTTCTTTGAAGCTGTAAGTAAAATCCTTTTTAGTAGTTTCAGACAAATCCTTGAAATCTAGCAGTTTGTTGAGGACAAATCAGGATCAAAAAGAACGAGTCCTGTCCCTCAAAAACCACAGATACTGTTTTGGATTTGTTTGCCTAGATCTTTTCCAACGTTTACTTTATTAAGAAGGGAAAAGTAACCTTTGAAATGGCCCCTCTTGCGAATTATCGTCTTTTAGATGTTTCTTCTTCACTATCTGATTGAAATCGATTTAGGTATTACAGAGTTAAGCTGGAAAATACACACTCACACATACAAACACACAACGTCCATCCATTTAAATATAAAATATTTAAATATAAACACCTTTCAAAGTTAGTTAATAAAATCATTAGTCAGTTTATGTTACTTACAAAACTGTAAATACTGACATCTTGATTGAATTAGTAGTGTATTTGTAAATTTATTTCCACATGAATGCATACGAGTGCTACTGTACATATTTTTATTGCTTACAAGGTATATATTAATTGCTTATTTAAGACATTCAGTGCGCTGTTCATTCCATAGTCAGCGATTTTAAATTGTTCATAATGTTAATTCTGTATGATAAGTTCATGTTTTTGTTTCCCAAATTCAGTGATTTTTGTTGCTTTGGAACTGTGTTAAGAGTCACACTTAAGTCCAAGAAAGTTCAAGAACAAACAGGCAAATAACAGTTTTTCTCATACTTTGACACTGAAATAGAAACCTGCACTAAAATACATAAAAAACATTCAATTGTTTTCTCTCATTTGTATTAATCATACGATTGTCAATTTTGTTTTTATCTTAATTTCTGTAGAACTAGATATACCATTCAAAATATTCAGGCAGTCATGTTCATAAAAAATTTAATTTACGATTTTTCAGTTCAATTAATGTGGTCACTCTCGTATTCCACATTACGAACAATTTATTCATTCCACCTATTTAACTGTTACTCCCATCTCTATCCCTTACTCTTGGAGATTAATTTCTTTAATCCCTTTAGCAAATACGTCATTACTGTGTTAATACTTCTAAATATTATCCTTGCCGTATTATTTTGCAATTGGGAAACAAAAGATGTGCTGGTGGTTCAGATGTGACAATTCGGGGGAGTTCAAGCAAAATAATAGAATTGTGCCCTGAAAATATTCACTATTATGTCAGTTTGTTGGGGACATTGAAAATGACAGGTGCATAGTATTTTGAGGATTTAACCATCTGCTCTCCCAGAATGTGATTACTCTGGCTCTTCAAAATCTTTCAGATGGAATTTGTGTTAATGGTTTGTTTCTTGGTGTGGGTTCGTAGTTAATGGTTTTGTGTCAGTTAGTTGTGCTACCACATGTCAATGACCTTCTTGTAACACCTGTGACAGCTTTGTAATGTAATTGTGTGTCATAATGTAATTATGACATTGAAAGTCATTTAATACAGTGAAACTCCATTTATATGTTTCGCAGGTACACTTTTTTCATGTTTATACATTGTCTTTTTTTGGCAAGTCACAGATAAACTCCTATAATTCCCCTGCTAAATTATTTCAGATATGCGTTTTTCACACTTCTACGTTCATAATATAAGTCCCTTGGATGACCTGCACAGTATGCCCGAAAGTTTACTTGCGTTGACAACAGAGTACTTCCGCAGAGCAACCTTCCAGGCTTTGAGGTGACTTTCTTTTAATGAAACTTGAAATATAGAAGCTTGACTCGGCCTAGCTGAGGGGCCAAAACCAAGTGAGCCCATAGGGTGGTAGCGCAAAGTCAGCTCCCAGGCCACCTCCAGCAGCGGTACTTTGAAACATTTCAGAGTGGCTTTGGAAAGGGAACTGGAGACTGGATAAATTTAATTTCTATGTAACAGACATTTTTTGGCATATTTTAAAACTTTAATCACACAATGCCATTTATATATTAATTTTAAATAAAAACATAATATATAAATTTATAGTTAATTTTCTGACTTAAAAGATAAATTTATAAAGATTTTAAATCTAACACCTAATCATGGAACATGGTTTGTGCACTACTGCATCTTACAAGCAAATTGTATGTTATTGTATCGTAATGTTTAACCCCAAGATAAGACTTTTTTCATTATTTCACTTATACATTTTTACCCTACAGTCCTCTGAAAAACATATAAGTGAAGTTTTACTGTACTACTATTTTTATATCTCACACATTCATCTTCATCAAAAAACTCCTAGAATAGTTATGCTTAATTCCCAACATCTTGTAAGACTCAATTTTATGCAGTTCATGTTCATTAAAAAAAAAATACTCAGCAGAAGTATGTTGAGATGTGCACCAATGTATATCTCAAAGCTTGCCCAGAATTGATTCCTCTAGCCCCCTCCCCCTCCGAATCCAATAAAATGTTCCTCAAAATCCATAGATTTTCCAAAAAGTGCAAACACAATATTTTGAGAAATTTGCAATTAAAATTATTAAATAATTCAAGTTGATTTAATATTTTACAAAGTTAATAATGACAATATCAACATGAATTTTTTCTTCAGTGTCATCAGCGGATCAATACAACAAATTATTATTATTATTAGTATTAGTATTATTATTATTAGTATTATTATTATTAGTATTATTATTAGTAGTAGTATTATTATTATTACTATTACTATTATTTGTATGTGGACCACCACTGACCTCACATTTTATTAATGTAAGTAGTTAGGACTAGGATGATGTTAGATGTTAGGTGGGGTAGTGGAAGGTGGGAGGTGTTCGTGGAATTTTGTAACCATCCCAGCATTCACCTTATGACCAAGGGAAACCTCAAAAACACAGGTCAGGATGGCCAGCCCGGGAATTGAACTGAGACCTTTCGATTGCAAATCCAGCTTGTTAAGCACAATACAAAATACAGTGACATTTTAAAAACCTTCCTTAATTTTGGGGTACCTTTAATGGAAATAAGAAGAAATGGAAATTGTGGAAGATTGTTAAAAAAATTTCAGAGCTTTTTTTTTTGTGGTGTGTTGCTGGGGGGGGCGGGCGGTGAGGTGACGGATGTATTTATCAGTTTTCAAAAGTACCATTTTTGGTTTAGTAGTAGACAAGGTTTATTACAATTTTTAAAACATTTATTAGAAATCATTTAAAGTGTTTATGTTCTCAGTTCTTTATATGTTGAAGTACATCCATAATAGATTAATTAAGTTATGTGGATTCAGAATATATTGTACGAGAAATTTCACTGATATCAAAAATGCAATTTATAGGGCAGAAGATAAAGCGTGATGAAATTGCCAGTTTGACAAAGCAGCTAGAATCCTTTTCTCAAGAACTTGCAGGTCTTAAAGATAAGGAGAAGCACTACAACACCCGGATAGAACAGCTAGAGGTAAGTGTTTTTTGCTTTCTGTTTCCCTCCGTTCTATTCAGCTCTAAAAATATAAGTCATTTAAATATTAAATTTGATTATAAATATTTCTTTAAGAATTTGTATCATTTATGTAAACACAAGAACCTTCAATGTTTTTCAAACCTCTTTTTTTTTTTTTTTTTTTTTTTACTACATCACAAATAAACAACCTAATTATTCAATTCTCTCAGTAAATTATCATGTTGTCATTTTAATAACACTTCATCAATAATTGATGTTTCTCCGCCTGAACAGTAGTATATTACATGCCACTTTTTATAATATTTAGAATAAATTGAATTGAATTAATGCCTTTATTTTATGTAGGCCGAGACGTCAGGCCATACGAGGCCTGCTCTTCCCGTCCTGACAACATTGACCAATTCGCTACGCTCCTTTAACCAACTAGCAGAGAAAGGAGGTATTTCTTGGGCGAGAAACAGGCGATTTGAATTTCTCTCAGAGATGAAGGATTTTCTGTATAGGATGTAAGGATGTACTGTACTTTCTGATACTCCTGCATAGCTGTAAGCTATGCATATCTGGACGAGGGGTTATGACTTTCAACACAGGCAGGGAATATTCTGAGAGGTGATAAGGGCAGTTATCTTGCAGAAGAACAGCTCTTTTTTAGGGTCTCCATTTTTTTTCCTGAAATTTCATTACAAATACGGATATAAATACAGAATAACTTTCAAAAATCATTCACAAAAACAAACCTGGCTTTTTGGTGGTTGTAATATTCAAATGGAAAACATCACAATTCCCTACCTTTAAAAGTTCTTGGTTTCTTATCATCACAATCATCAACTGCAAGTTGCTAGACCTGTCACCGGCTCCTGTTTCCCAGAAAACAGCACCTTACGCCTCCAGGTGCTCCTGATCCAGCCTTTCCTTTAGTGGTCCTCCCACATCTATTCGCCCTGATGGTTTGTATTTCAGCACTGCTTTGGGAATCTTTCATATTTCATTCTGTTAATGTGAGAGAGGTTCATGAGAGTGGCTTCTTAGCTTTCCCAAATACAGTGGAATTGATCTTGTGTGTGTGTCAGTCTCATTTGAACACATCACAATGATCAATCATTCTTTGCTAGATTTGTGTCCACAAGCTTGATTTTTCAAATCTTGCAGGGAGTGATTTTAAGGGTAACGTTTTCCAAAATAGACTTGGCTCATCTGTGTTTTGTAATTGGACAGGGGTTCATTATCTCTAAGTTTCATTGCTACATTGCATTGCTCTGTCTCTGACTTTCTAAGAACCTCTGTACTTACTCTTATGCACCTATTGCTTTTTCTTTTGGAACTGTCTACATTTTTTGGAAATGTCTAAAGTTTTTGGAAATACAACTCCCTTTGGGGCTGCCCATAAATTATGTAATGCAAATTTGGAGTATTTTGAATACCCCCCTCTCTCCCTATTACACGTGCTTGAAATCCCCTAAATAATTATGTAACTTTAATACCATTTGTATTAATTTTCTTTGTTTGTGTTAAAATTAATGATAATTTAAAATACAATTAGTTTGACAGTGCTGACCTCACTTACCAATAAGATGAGAGAAAAGTTTTTGAGTGAAGAAAAGATGCCTTATGCAAGACATTTTCTGACAACAAGTCATGGACCCGCCATTGTGGATGATGCATGGACAACAGACTATTGGGCCAATTTAATTGTATTTCAGAATATACTGCAGATCAGTTTTGAAAATTTTCTTTCTATTTCTAGCAGATTCAATCAATATATTATTGATGAAGGAATATTTCCATTTATTGCAACAATTACATAATTATTTCTTAATTTATTTATATTTTTTTATTTAATATGTAATATATTTATATTCTAGTATGCGACTGCTTAAAAGAAATTATTTCAGTAAATATTGAAGGCAGAAAAAAATCAACTTTACATAACACTGAGTTAACACCTGCCTTACCCGTATGTAATGCAGCGTAACGCTTTCTCAAACTCCCCGCCCCCCTTTAACGTTACGTAAATTATGGAAGTCCCCTTTGGTAATTTTTTAATAGTGATTAAATTAATGTTAATCCTGAGCACAGACTTTTGTTTAAAAGTGCATTATATATTATTGTTGACAAGATAATGTACAAGTACACTTAATACTAATAGTATTTAATTCACTTTTTAGAAGTCGGTTACTTTTTACATGAATCCAAAATTAAATAATACCACAAACAAGATTTCAATAGGGATTTTCTCAGAACAGCGTGTTTTTTTATCACTTTTTTCATTCACTATGTAAATTATAAAAATTTGTTATTTTAAGTAGGTACATCAAAAAAAATTCCTGTTATAAAAATTTTCATAATAATTCCCTGATTTTCAAGTTTGTTGCCATCCTGTGATGAATGAATTTCATTGATCTGAAGTTAGACATAATACCTATATTTAACTTCCGATATATGGTATGTTCACATTTCATTATTTTTGTTACAACTCTATCAAAGTTACACAAACAGAATTTATTTTTTATTGACAACCACATGTAAAATTTAACATTTGCTATTCCATGATTCTTAATTTTGTCAATTATGAAACCTTTCACTGTTTAGAGTGATAATTTAAATTTATTTTTATTAATTCTCAATTATTTAACATAGGTATTTTTTGCCTAATACCTGAATTATTGTATGTGTTATCTTTGATTTCTCATAGACCAAATGTGTATCTCAACAAGAAGAAATTCAAAGGCACCAACAATCTTTGACAGAAACACGCCTTCTACTTAATGAAAAGGAAAACCTCATATTGCAGCTGAGAGGAAAACTCAATACAATGCAAGAAAATTCATTTGCCCAAGCTGAAGCAGAACTGGCTGAAAAAACTCAAGCCCTTTTAGAAGCAAAGGAACAATGCCAGAAACTAAAAGAAGAACTTGTTTCTCTAAAAAAAAGGGAAGAGAATCCTTTGAGAGATTACAGTGGAGAATATTTACGATTTCATGAACAAAAGTTAGCTCAGGCACTTGAAGAACGTAACAGAGTGCACAAAGGAGAACTAGAGACAGTCAGGTAAGGATCTAAAACAGAATGTAAAAGGAAAAAACTTTCACAGTTAAATAAAACTGTATTGAAATAAGGCATAATGATTTAAATCATTAAAAATTTAGAGTTGGCTTTGTCATAAGGATGTACGAGTGCTAGTTCAGAAACGATATAACAAAATTCACAACAGTTGTAAGGTTAAAGTGTAATAATAGCCATAAAATGAATAGAGGTAAGTTTGATTTGTTTACGAATAATTAATTTAAGTTTATAACAGTAAGATATAATTTTATATAAATATATATAAATATATATATATATATATATATATATATATATATATATATATATATATATATATATATATATGGGGGGGGTGCGCGCACGCGTGTGTATAAATATATTTTTGTGTGTATATAAAACACATAAAATCATAAACATATTTATACAGGGTTAGTGAAGTAACTAACAACACATGTTATTGATCTTATGTTAAAGCTAGTGGGGGGTCTGAATGTATGAATGTACTCGCCCTCACGCAATCGGTCACTCAAGCTAACTACCAAGCCTTGCCACTGTGAATGAAACTGGCAAGTTTAGTTTCGATAGCGCAAAGCATTGAAGCATTGAATGCCATTGCATAAGCACACGCACGTGATCATACCAATAATCCCAAAGTAAGCTGTGCAAGTTGTTTGGTTGTAAAAATAAAAGCCACTAGGGGCTTGCAGCAACAAAAATGCTGTTGGATATAACCATACCAAATGTATTTTCAAAAACCAATGAAGGTAATGGCAGGTGGTCTTTTCCTTGGTGCTTTGCAGCCACATGACGTCAATTTTATCAGAAGCAGTGATGCACTGAGTATGAAAATTCAGTGTGTAAACACAGTATGGGAATAGGCAGAATAACATCATCAGATGTGTGCATTTTTCAGTCAAAATAGAAACTATTTTATTGTTTTTGAATTTTTCTTGAGTTCCTGAGTACTTAAATCCATAACACATCTCACATGCGTGGTATAGTGCATTGAAAATTAGTACCAACGTTTTTCTTTTCTTCCCAAGTTACTGGGTATCTAAATTCAACATTGGCTCCTCTCCAAAGTGTGGAGGCTTCATAGTTTTCTTTAAATGTCTATGTGCATTGGAAATAAGTAATCTAAATACTAGTGTCCCATATGTAACTTAAGAGTGTGTCAAGGAGGCATAACCATGGAGCTATCTGCACAAACAACAATGCATGATCAAACCAAAATCAACTTCTTTCCTCCAAATGAGGTTTTTGAACGATTGTTCATAAGAGAAAATATCAATATCAATGCAGAGCTTAGCGTCAAACATGATTAACAATCTGATGTAAATTGTAATACATTGACATAGTGAAGCATTGCTGTGTCCACTAGTAAGAAATAAAATTGAAATGTAACTTTTGCAATTATACAAATTAATATTGATATTTTTTGTGTGTTTATTGATGTAAAATTTTGTTAAAAGTATTATTGGGTGTCCTTAGAATGTGCTTAGACTTTTGTGCATTATCCTACACTGCTTCAAACATCACATTGCAGTTTTAACTAGCACACTTGCATAAGTACACTCCCTCCCCCATTTTCCTCCCTCCCTCTCTCTTTTCCCTTCTTCCCCTTTCCTTTTTTACCTTTTTCTCTCTTGGCTTCAGCAAAAAGGTCTCAAAGGACAGACTGTTTCACAATAAGGTGACATATTTTTACTTTCACTTTATAAATATTAATACAGTAAAACTCACAAAATGTGAAAAGTGTGTAATGCAGAAATTTGTCTAGTGTGAGCATAAATCGCTGTACTACCAAACGTAAATTCCACAGTATTGCATTACATTATGTGAAATCTTGCCTAATAGAGGGAAAAAAATACTGGTTCTCTTGAGATTCTGCATTGAGCAAGTTTTACTGGACCTATTTCTTAAAAATGCTTCTTTGAATTTACACTAGTCTAATTTAATCTCAATGTCTGGCCATCGATTTATGAAATGTTACAACAAAGATCTCAATTAATTTAGTCTTTATATTATGAAAGCAAATAATCATGTAATGAGCTCTCCTCAAAACTTAATGTTGGCTACAATACTGCATTCTTCTATCTTGTGAAAGAGAAAAAAAACAATATAAGCCTCATTAATCAGGTTTTGATGAGAAATTAGCCATTGAAACAGAAAAATTAAACCTATGAATAGTTATTGAATTGATAAGGAAGTTAAGCTGCTTAATTAATAAAGTAATATGGAATAATTTTAATTCATATATCAGTTTATATTATTTTGTAAATGTGAGTGCAATATGTCTTGTAAATTTAATCATTCTAATAACTAGTCGTAAAATCTATAGTCCTGATGCGTGGGGAGAGAGAAAAAGAAAGAAGGGGGAGGGGGAAAGTTTTCATTGACCAATCTCCCATCAGAACGTGATTAATTATTACTACAATTATTACAAAGAGTGAAGAATATAAACATCACTTGTGTTAACAGGGCAGAATTAGAGCAAGCACGAAAGGAAGGTGATGGAGTGAAGGAATTATATATCAACGTATGTCATTCCAAAGACGAGTTGGTCACTGCATTACAAAAGGAACAGAACCAGGTGAAAGAACTACAAGCACAAATTATGCATTTACAAGCAGAACAGCAAGCAACTAGCCATATCCTTCAGGCCAGCTCATCTAGGGTTCACACTGATCTTCAGGTTGGTGTTCTCTATTGCTTCAATTATCAGAGCCAGTAAATTTCTTGCATGATATCTCTTTTGTAAAGTATTAGTAGGTCAAAGTCCAATAGGTCAGATTAATGTTTTAGATTTATAAACCTTCATGAGTGTGTTGCAGGGATACCAAATAAATCTTAACATAATTGACTTATAGTTACAAGTTTTAATCAACTAAAATATCAACTTTGACTGATCTCTTACAGGCTTTGAAGGGTCAACTGCTGTCAGAGAAAATGAAAGTAGAAGAACTTCAATCGCAAAACAAACTGCTCTTGGAGAAACTAGAGAAAGGCAAAGATAACTTGGAGGCAGCCCAGAAAGCTGTCACTGAGATTGCTGGGTTGCAAGCGGAACTGGTTGCACAAAAGTGCCAACTAAAAGATCTTGAAGAACATTATGAAGGAAAGTTAAAACAAATAAGCTTAGAGAAGGAACAAGCCCTCCAAGAAGCAGAGAATAGATCTAAGAACTTCTATACTGTGAAAGTTACGGAAGAAATTGAAAAAGGTTTGTTAATACAAATTTTAAATACCTGTAATTGTGGTATCTTCAGGAATCTTGGTAGAATACCCAGAAATCCTTAGGAATCCTAAATTGTTTAGAGGTTATAAATTAAAATTTTAATTTTATTTAGCAGCTTTATAAAATAACCCAAGCTAGTTTTGTAAGCTGCAAGTGAAATCTAAATCAATTAGGGTAGTAAAATACCCTTGTAGGAAAAGCAAAGTTTTCAGTCTCCTAGTAGCCTCCTTTCAGTCTATTATGTCAAAAACATCTACAGCCAACTCTGTTATTCTTCATTAGTCAAATTGAAACCGCCTTTCTTTTCCTCCTACAATCACATAATATATCACAGTTCTCTTCCCTCCTACATATTCCCCTTCCCAATCTCCTTCCATATTTCCATTTGCTATATACCAGCCTTCCTCTTCTAAAAATATCAATAATATTTTACCCTCTTCATTATCTTTAGGTCTTCTACCTCAAATCAATTATTAACATTCTAATTCTAAAAATGTCAGTAATCCTATTCTTAAAATGTTTTCAAGTTCTCTTTCCTCTCATATTTCAATTCATCTATATTCTCTATCAAACTATCTTTGGATCTTCTACTTTAAATCCATTTTTAATATTATTGTTATATCTGATGTATTTGTCCCATAATAAGTTATTTGTATAATTCAGGTTTCTTAATTATTTGCTATTCTATTGTATTAGGTACTCTATCTATATTATTTGGTTGATGCTCTTTTGCTTCAAAATCGTGATTTGGACTTTTTGTTTAAGCTAAAACAGATGCTCTGATTGACCTAAAGAAAAACTGGCAGGAGAACAATGGAGATGATACATTGGTTGCAAAGTTGAAACAGGTTAGTATGTTTGCTATAGTTATTTATTATTATTGAAAGAACAAAATTACTTAATTGCAAAAATATATTTCAATTTGGGTAATTTCTTGTATGTAGAAAACAATTTTTTTTTTTTTTTTTTTCCCTCCCTAATTTTTTGAGACTCCTGTGAAACTATGAATTTGTAGTTATCCATACTTGGTTCATTCCTGACTGGTGATTATATTGAAAATTTGTATGTTTTACTGTAGCTTAATTAAATAAGATATGTCTTTTTGAAGTTCTTATAAAACATTTAGAGTAAAAAATGTAACCAAGAGAAATTAAATCTACTTATCAGGTAGCTTTCTGTAGATGACATTACTTTTAGAGCCTGATCAATGTATCTTACAAGAATTTTAATAATATTGTCACCATTAGTAATAAATTCAAGGGATCCTTGTTTATGGCATATTCAATGTCCTCTCAAAACAATTTAATAGGAATTTTTACATGATACCTCAGATTTCCTTTTATACATATGTATATATAGAGTAATATAAGGAGTATAGAGTCGTGTAATGCTGCGGAAAATCAATTTCGATATTTCAATGGAAATGCATGTGTTGGGGTCCCCTGATACCGAAAAAGTGTTGTTTTTCAAAAGGTCCGTCTGTTGTCAGTAAATATCACTAGCACCTACACTGTCGGTAGGTTTTTTTCCAAACTGGATTGATTTGGTCTCACACGCTCTGAATGTTTTGAATAACATTAATTAATTTTTTGGTGCACTTTCCATGAAGCCCCTAAAACTTTTTCAAAATTTTCTCAAAAATGGCTCCAAATTTTTTCTTTCAATTTCTTGTAAGAATAGAGTGAAATATACGTATAGAGATGGCAAAGGTCTAATTTTTCACCATTTAACTCTTGAATTGTCAAAAATTGCAAAAGTTTGACATTTTTTCAGCATCATCTTCCAATTATAGAATTGAAGATAAATATATTTCCTTCAAATTAAATTTGTTCTCCATAATTATTTCTTTCGTTGTCATGTACATTTTTGAAAATTTTAGTATTTTTACTGTGTGAAATATGTGCAATATAAAAAGAATATCAAAAACAAAAATTTCTCAAAAACAGCCCCCCATTTTTTCTTTAAACTTTCCAGGATTATTGCTAAACATTCTGAAAGAGATGACTATTTTCCTGTATGCTTTTAATTTTTCCAAAATTACTCGTGTTTTTTTTTACTTTCTTGCTATCGCTAAATCGCTATCGAAAAAATCCTCTAACACGTGGTGTAGCCAGAATCCGTGTTTTGTGGGTGTTTACCGAAAAGTCGATTGACGGCAAACGTCTGTCTGTTCAACCGTCTGGTCGTCGAATGATTTATATTTTTCCATTCATTTTCATTTTCTTGCCAGCGTTGTCAACAATGCTAATTGGCAAAATGTATGTCCCATACGAATTAGCAGTCACTCGCCTATCAAACGGTCCACAGACTAGGCGCGATCTTTCCTTCCAATTCCTTGTCCTTTATCCTTTACCCTTCACTTACACCCGGCTGGTAGAGATACTTGGTAGAGGGAAAATCCCGCTATCTGACGTTCATTTGGCGGCGGATCTCTCCAGACAGTGGGCGAAGATAACTGCCACTTCTCGAAGAAAAAACAAACATGCACGATACTTATGGGACTAACGGCCTGAGCAGTTGACTTGCCCGGAATCATAAATCATCAAAAATCTTAATTGGTGCGGGTCTGATTTTCGTTGAGAACCCTAATTTTCCAAAAATTGCAAAAATTCAAAATTTTTTCGGAGTCTTTCTAAAACTAAAATTTTAAGATTAAGATTTGTCCCTTAATGTAATGTGCTTCTTAAAAATAGATTTTGAAATTAGTTCAGGTACAATGTTTCAAAAATTGAGTACTTTCCGCAGGGAATTTTTAATTTTGTTTCAACAATTTTTCCTCAAAACTCCTGGACCGTTTTTGTTAAATTATTTTGTTCGATAGTGGAGAGGGCATTTAAGAAAATTGTGCAGGTCTCGTGTTCATTGAAAATACTGAGTTATGAGAATTTCAAAAATTCAAAAAATTTTCTGCAGGGGAAAGCGTCGAATTTTTCGAAGAAAAACTCTTATTGCCGGGCCCTGGTAACGAGAAAGGGGGAAAACTTCTGTTCTTACATTTAAGGGGGAAATTCTCTACCAACTGCTGCCAGAATCCAAATTATGTGAGAAATGCAAATTCAAATGACGGCTAAAACGTGCCCCTCCGTCCTTCTGTGAAAAAGGTTAGCTAAAACTGTTCAGCTGATTTTCTGTACGTCAGTGTCTGTCCGCCAGTGTTGGTCGGCCTGTCTGTCTGTCTGTCCGCCAGTGTCGGTGGTCGGCCTGTCTGTCTGTCTGTCTGTCCGCCAGTGTCGGTGGTCGGCCTGTCTGTCTGTCCGCCAGTGTCGGTGGTCGGCCAGTCTGTCTGTCCGCCAGTGTCGGTGGTCGGCCAGTCTGTCTGTCCGCCAGTGTCGGTGGTCGGCCTGTCTGTCTGTCCGTCCGCCAGTGTCGGTGGTAAGCCTGTCTGTCAGAGTTGGTAAGGTCTGGCTGCCCATAGGTCAATATAACTGTCTGTCAGTGTCTCTATCTTTCTGTACTTCTGTCTGTCTGAGTGCCTGTCCGTCTTTCTCTCCGACCCTCTACACGTCTGTCTGCCAGGTATTCTGACTGTCTGGAATTCTTGCTGTTTTGCAGGCTGGTAGTCTATCCGGCTTTCTGTCAGTCTGTTTGACTTTGTCAGTCTGGTATCAATTTTAGGTACCAAATTATTGAGATCTTGAACATACTAATATATTTCTGTTGGCGATATTAACCACTTCTCAAATACATGCAGAATCTGAAACTAAATGTGTATGATAGGGTCAGAGAGGGAGAGAGGAGGGTGGGACGGAGGGGGGGAGACAGTGAAGGATGGAGAAAGAGGGAGATCAAGGGCAGAACAACATCTGAAGTGTTCCGATCGTACTCTTATAAAAATGGCTCATGTCTCGTTTCCGGTGAACACTCTACATTGCTAAAATTTCATATGAAAAATTAACATTGCAAAACTACGATATTGATGAAAGATATTTTTCTACTTTTTTCTCTGTCCTTCAAAAGTATATCTAGCACAAAAAAAATAACAGTTGTAATATACCAGATCCACGATATTGTAAAAAGTTCGCAAGTACTGTTGCAGTATACCAGACCCATGATACTGTAACTGTTATTTTTTTTGTGTAAGGTTATATACTCTATTAAAAATATTTTTCGTAGTTTTTGTATCTTCTTAATTACAAATTGCAATTTTCCGTACTTCTTTTGCTTAAGAGAATCTTTCAGCGATATCAGGTCTTCAATGACAGTGTCGATATGGCACTTTGATTTTCTTTCGCAACGTCTCTTATCCATTCTTGAGCTTTGAGCGTATAATCTGTCGAGTAATCCCCCGCCAACTTTTTTGTCCTTTTGTCTTGTTTGACAAGACCAAGTTAGTCAATTTCTTTTATTATTTCGGCCAGCGGCTCCGCGCAGTTAGTAATCGAGGTTTCCAGACGGTCACCTTTCCAGGAATCCGCGGTATCTCAAGTTGCTTAGCTTCCATGACTATAATAATAATAATAATAATAATAATAATAATAATAATAATAATAATAATAATAATAATCACCGCCGAGCACACCTTTTTCCAGTGTACAAACCGGAAAGAAAAACTCTATAAACTAGAGGAAACGACAGGTAGTCCTCACGGCCAGAGAATATTGTCGAGCAGAATGCTAAGAAATGAGAAAGTCCTGGAATGCAATTTCCGCACTTCATAGAAAAGCGTTCTGCGGGCAAAGAAGGGAAGAAGGCTGTGCTAAGCGATAGCGTATAAGGACGGAACAAAATGAAGAGGCATCGCATCACGAAAGGCCGCAGCGCTGAAGTAATGCAGAAAGCGGTCCCAGCTGAGGCCAGAAAGAAGAAAGCAGGTGGTTATTTTTAGTGAGGTCGCCTAGCAAGAGGTAATCCCAACTGTGTGAGCAACCGGTCCGCTCTTCACCTTTGAAGGGTTTTTTTCGCACCTGGCCGCAAAATAATAATAATAATAATAATAATATATAATAATAATATAATAATAATAATAATAATAAATAATAATAAATAATATTTTTTATATATTTGTTATATATTATATTATAAAATTTATTATAATATTTATGTCACATAATACAGCATACGGCCAATGTATGACAAGTCAGGATATGTATATAATCATACAATACACAATACAGATATTTCTAAAAATTAAATACAAAACATAAATTAAGTTTTAAATTCAAGTCTCGTATTAATACAATATCATGGAAAGCTAATTAATTTTATACATGGTAGTGAAACAAGACTTGCGTTAAAAATCAATAATAAAAAAAAAAAATGAAGTTGTTCATAGATTCGAGCCTAGGCTGGGCCCGTCCTTTAAATATTCAAAAACCAGTGTAGGGGGGTTTGAAAACATGCAATAGAGAATGCAAAAATTATTAGTACTAGTTTATATTGACGTGTTTATGATGCATGTATTGTTTTGTACTGTAGAATGTGTGGTTTAACAGGAAAGCTTTCCGTTTATTTTTGAATGTGTGTATCGAGTTTAAGCTTTTAAATTCACAAGGAAGTTTATTATATAGTGTAATGCCTTCTATAAGGGTACTTTTTTGAAAGAGTGAAGCTTTACTCTTGTGTGGAACATGCAGATTTCGTTTTTGTCTAGTATCATAGTTATGAACTTCTGTGTTCGGAGTAACAGAATTCTTGTTTCCCATAAGTGTTTTCATTGTGAAGATTAATATTTCAAATATGTACAAGCATGGGAGTGGTAGTATTTGTAAGTTTTTGAACAGTGGTTTGCAGGATTCATGTTTGTGAGTGTTTGTCATTGTTCTCAATATTCGTTTTTGGATGATATAAGTGTGAATACTTTACGGAGCGTAGTTAATTAATTCGGTTAACAACTCCAGGATATTTTTAATCCGAAATTTATAGAATTTCTTCTCAACGTTGGTCTGTGATTCTCTCTCTTTGGAACGCAGTTGCGGATAGTCGAATTTGAGTTCATGTATTAGCTTTTAAAGAATTAGTTTTTGCTCGATTGTGGGCTCGTTTAGATTGTGGGATGTGTTAATATGGACAGTAAACAGTATTAAAATAGTATTACGTAACGGTTACTAATGCAGGAAATTACATGCTGATATAGCACCATTAATTTTAGTCTTTTTATTAAGAAAACTCATATTGTGAGGCTAGCTTTTATTGTCAGAATCCATGTTTTGTATGTCCTTAAAACCAAAAACTGGTTTATAGCAAAATGCCTGTGGTCATCATGAGCACCTAAACAGTTCAGATGATTTTCTCCAAAATAGATATTCTTTGTTCAAGCCAAACTCAGCTTCTTGCGAATTTGAAAAACAGACATTTTGATTTTGGGGGTACCAAGTAACCAATATATTTTCAAAGTTTTCTTGAATAGAGCTAAGTACTCTTATAAATAGGTCTTGTTTTGGGAGAAAACTGTAGTTTTTTAAATTGCAAAAAACTAACATTGCAAAACACAATATATAGGTTTTTTTAGCAGAGATTTGTTTCCATAATGAAATCTGTTCTAAAAACTAAGATCTGTAGATCATGGTCTATCTTTAAGATCATAAGGACATTACATTTTTGTTTTTTAATAATTTTTGCTTGAAGTAAATGCTTGCACAAAATGGCTTTGGTCTTGTTTCACGTTAAAATCTGAATTTTCTATAATTACAAAAGTTACAAATAATGTGGGATAGTACGAGTTAATGTAGCTCTATTAATTTCATTGCACTTTTTGTACTGATAGTGCAACACACTGAATATCGTTTCATATATGCAATTTTTATTTTTCCAAAATTATATATACGATTTATTTACCTCTCTTTGTTAATATACACAAGTTTATTTTATAGTTTAATGCATTTGCTAACACAAATACTTCAAGTGGTCTTAATAAGTTTCTAGAAATCAGAAACCTTTGGTCAAAATTGCGCTTTTTCAGTAATACTTGAATGACATTTTCAAGGAGGAAAAGAAAAGTTCCAAATTTTTAATTAAATGTCCACATGAAGAGAGTTTTTGCTCTTCAGTGATATTCTGTCTCCTTTCATTTAAACTAATGGGGCCAAACAATAAAGGAAACGTGAAAAAGTATACTTTTTTTTTTTCACTCCTCCAAACTTCACTTCCCTCAACACAAACATTAGATGTAAAAAAATATTAAACCATTGATTGAAAAAATTGTTCAGTATTTTATTCCACATTCATGAGTTGGTGTGTGTACATACGAATATTAATGTAAATGTAATATTGGATAAAAAGAGTTAATCCAACTGGGTCTTCAGTATTTGGAAATGAAGAATATATCCTTTACAAAATGAGAAATGTAGCAATACATGAATTTAAAAAATGCAAAACTTTTTTTTAATAATAAAAGAATTTGTTCATGTTTTAATGGACATATTTAATGAATTTCATGTTTGTAGTGAAGGGAAGTTTTATTTCTTCAAATTTATGTAATTAAGCTAAAGCTTTTAGTGTTTATGAAAACTTTTTTTTTTTTTTTTTTGTAGCTAGAAGAGGACCATATGGTTTTGGAACAGCAGTTGGAAGCTGCTGTACAACGTCACGCTCAAGACACTGCAACACTCTCTCGCCACTTGGAGCAGGCCAAATCTAGGGAGGCAGCACTGTGTCAAGAACTTGCAGTGAAGGTTAGTTTTCTTAGAGTATGTGGTTTAGTTTACCTTTTTTATTAAAAAGTTATTGGTAATTGTTTTATAAGAGTTTTGTTATGTTTCAAAATAATAATTAATCAAGGGTATATGAATATATATTAAATTATAATATTTTTAAAAAATAGAAAAGAATTCTGCAATGTGATTTTGTTCATATTCACTCATGTACCCTTCATGAAAGGAATTTCTCAGTTTCCTAGGTATTTGATATTAAAAAATAAATATCTTGTAGGTTTTTTCATTGTTTGTCTCAAGAAAGTAAGTGATATTTGTGAGGTTTATTCATAAAGTGGAATGTAATTGACAAAACAGGAAGCAATATTATTCGCCAAATCTTGTAAACCTAGAGAAATCATAACTTGCATATTTTTATCGATTAATATTCATTAGCATTTCCTATTTTGAATTCAATTTGAGTTAGTTTTAAAAGAAAGAACATTTGTGTACATAGGTTTTGAATGAATGTTACTAAAGTGTACTAACAGACATGTAATTTTGATATTCTCAGAACAAAATGCATCTGTATAATATAATAGGTTTTTTATAAACACAGTGTTTGGTTGAGACTCAACAGAAAATCGTCTCATTGCCAAAGACACTTCTACAATCCAAATCAGGATAAAAAAGGCTTAAGCAGTTTTTAAAGAGATGAAAATCTTGCACATTCTATATACAATTATAGGCAGGGCAAAAAGCAGGCAAACTGGAAATTTAAAGGCTTGTTGAAAATGCAAAAGCAGCTCAAACTCACCGAAGCCAAAAAAAAATGTTTTTAATTCCAAAAATCAGTCAATGGTGTGAAAATGAGTGGAGTGCTAAATGGGTAGCAGATACAAATTTAGATTGCAGAGCTCCAATTTTATAAATATTGAAAATCTTATTTTCTATTTAATCCAGCATCCTTTTCACAGTGCACGTTTGCTTGGGAAGAAGAATTAGAGTTGCTCATTCGTTACTTGTACGATCAAGTATGTCATTCTGCTTGTAATAGCATACATTTGTGCATTCTATCCTTTCGTTTCTTCGAGAACGTACAGAATTTTTATTTCCTATAACAATATTTTTGTATGTGCTGCCTTCATTTGGAGAGACCATATATGTGTGATAGTCTTATGACTTAGCATCCTATTTAGATGTCAGGCATTATCTTAGTTCTGAAAAATAATATTTTCAACATTGGTTAAAAAATGTTTCTTTACTTTATATGATTTTCATTGAATATTTTTGAAAAAATTTGAAGAAGAAGGTGATGGTGAACTTGCACTTAATATTAATACAAATATTTAATTTATCATATTTCAAATATATTTGAACAATTGATTCTGAATCAATTTGTAAATACGTTAGTCATTGTAAAACAATCTGATTATTAATAAAAAGAAATGAATAAAAAGCTCTTTGTATAAGAAGACAAATAACACTGGCTAACTTTTATGAAACGCCAAACCCTCGCGCGCCAAAAAATAGAAAAAAATGTTCAGATATTGTATCGCCCAGACACCGCAGTTTACAGTATGCAGAGCAGACTTTGCATCACTCGAAAGGAAAAGACTCATTGTCAGTACTGCCACCCCATAGAATTACTACAACAATGAAACACAATGTTCTAGAATAGGAGCGTGCAAAAGGGGAGAGGGAATTGGAATTCAAAGCTACAGTTGCTTATGTAGACTTACCTTGGGCTTTTATATTTATTTTCTTGTTGAAACAAGAATAAATTGTGTGTGCGTGTGTGTGTGCATGTGCATGCGTGTAGTGATTGATTCATAAACTTTTAGGTCACGGAATGCGCTCAAATTAATTCTTAATTTAATAGACATTCAGTTGACTCTGGTTCTAGTGAACTTTTGTGGCCCAACAATTTGGGTTCACTATATCCGAGGTATTATCTTATTATAGAAAATGTGTACATTTGCACATTTTATACACACACACACACACACAAATTATAGGCTTGTACGGCAAATAAACATTATGTTATTTTACGTGCTCTCCTTAATGTTCTAATTTGTTTTTTTATTTTAAGGATGAAGAACTGAATAAATTGAAGCAAACGTCAGAAAGTGATGAAATTTCGGGGTCTTCTTCAATTGAGAAGGTAAAATAAGATTTAAAGCATTAGGGAACTGCTCCAGTGTTTACAACAAATATATTTTCTAATAAATCATAGATTCAGAAAATGTTGCAAACAATAAAGGCCCTTAGAGAAATATATATACTTTTTTACAAAAGATTGTGTAATGGTTTGTTCAAAAGCTTATTAACATCGTTTTCAATTGCTAGTAAAGATTGGTTTACTATAAATGAAGAATGTCATTGTAGATCCTTAAATTCTTTTGATTGTTTTTGCTTTGCTTTTTTATTTTTTACAATTTTTTCAATTTATTCATTTAACAAACATATTGTAATTACTTTTTTGATATGTTTCTGGTTTCTTCGTATATATATTCTGTTCCTTTGGTATTTTTAGGTAAAAAAGGAAATGATGGGAGCATTTGCAGCTAAATTACAATCGGTACAAACTCAGCACCAACTGCAACTGGAGGAAACTTGTGAGCGTGTTAAAGATGAAACTGTAAGTTTATTATTTGATGTTCATTGTAATGTAACCTCTCTAAACGTCTATCTGAAATTGAAATTAGTTACTTAGAATGAATTTTAAAATTTTAAAACTTTGACAAGAAGTTGCCTATAAAATCAACAATGTGCTTGATAAACATTATTCTGAGGGTTACTTCTTAACTGCTTTATCTTGGTTTTAGTATCTAAATAACACACATTTTTCTGTTTACATATGTAATGGTGTAAGACAGGATATGAAATATTATTAAAAAAATTATCATTGATATAATAGAGGGGTTGGTTGGGGGGGTCACGAATTGGCCACCTGGGACCACGCGAATGTACACCTGCACTTACCAAGGCTCAGTTTCATTTATACCATGGCAAGTGTACATGACTACTTTTGAGGGGTTCAGCATTACACTGAATCCAACTTTTATCCCCTTGGATTGCTAGCCCTGGAAGAATAGGATATGGAACGATGATAATGAAGGATGGATGAATGGAAGACTCGTACAGACACACATAAACATACCCATACCCGAGGCAGAACTCAAACCTGTGATCCTACCGACCAAGATTGCCATGGCATTACTACCTTAGCAATCCCGGACATCCAGATCAGCAGAGATTGTTGTTGTTGTTGTTGTTGTTGTTGTTAATATTATTATTAATAATATTATTATTATTGAGTAACCTTTACACTTTCAATTGTGTTTGACGAGTCAAATGTGCTGTATGAGGGGTTGTGCAATTGCCCTTGTCTTCTCGAGTCCCAAAATCCCTGCATTGTTATTACACACTAATATAAGTAAAGGTTGAAATAATAATGCAAATGTTGGGAAAAAGGTATTAAAACAAAATAATTGTTCTGATGAAAAGTTTCCTACCTAATTTGAAGATAGGAAATAACAAAAAACCTCAAGAAAAATTGTTTAGTTAGATTGTTTCAGAGTTTCATTCATGAATTAGAATAAAAGGTAAAGAAAAGAAAGTTCTGTTCTATCGTGTATTAACTTTTGCTGGTTTATTTTGTAGTTCGTCTTCTGGTTCAAGGCTCTTACCAATGTAGATAAGAATACATAAATATCTGATAATCCAATTCTACAATTCAGCACTTGCTGAATCATAAACTAGACATAAACAATTTCTTTCCAGCATCGCAAAATGAGAGAAGTTAATACTAATATTCAATAAATAAACTAAATGGGGAGGGGATACTCTCGGTGTGATGGCTTTCATGTATGACCTTCCACCACTCAGCCTGGTTCACTCCCTGCCAACCCATGTAGAATTTGTGGACAAAGCAGTGCCCTTGGCAAAGGTGTTCTCAGTTTTCCCATATTACACCATTTTTCCATATTTTTTTTCTCTAAGAACTTTCATCTAATCTTTGGATGGGCATCATTTACGTTAGTTGTTGAAGAAACCAAAAAATAAAAATTTGAAATTCCTGTCTTATTGGAACTGACCATAGGTCTGAAAATTACAAGTAACTCTAACATCAGAATGTTTAAGAAGCATTGTGATGGGAAATATGCTAGGAAGCTGTGTAGACCTGAAAAAAGCAAGAATTTTGCCAGGAGTATTATTTCTCTGCATGGATTTTTATTATTAGGGTACATATTTGCATCTCTTTAAATTAAAAAATACGCATTAAAAATTATTTCATAACTTCACTTTGACAAACACAATCTGTACACTTTTGAAGTCAGCATTTCATGATCGAGAAAATATTTGCAATTTGTCAAACAATAACTGAACAGTGAATATCAGAGAACCGTAGAAAATAGACCACACATCAGAAGACCTAAAATAGGTGCCCATCACCTCTGCATCGGATTGTTGAGGTCAGTGGTGAGAATAAATTATATTTCGCGGATTGTGTGGGGATAACAAACTTTGGTAAGGGAAGAGAGTGTATTGAGATGTAAGAGTTATCTGGTGTGGCCATTCTATATTTTTTAAATCATGTTCTCTGATGCTCTTCAGGTTTGAATAACTTTGTGGTAAATTACACATATTGTGATCAGAGGGTATGAAATTTATAAAAGACTTTTAATATTATTAACCAAGTATTGCTTTAACACATCTGTTTACTTATAACACCATGGGATTTTGTTTACAAAAAAATTGATGGTAAGAACACTTCATTTTCGTAATAATTGTCATAATAATATAATGAATGTTTATCTGCCATAATTGGTTCATTCACATGTTTTTAATAATCTGGAATTATTCAAGTTATTGAAGTGGATCTTGGTTGTTTTGTTTTGTCTGTTGCAATCCATCTTTCCAAAGCAGTTGACATTTCAATATCTAGTGCGAGGTTCAAGTTAGTAAAGTAGCTAGTATTTTTAAGTTCAAAGTTCACTATTATTAAATATAAAGGTGCGTATAGAAATGTAATGTCCAGAAATAATCCATCCCGACTTCCTTAAAAAATTGCAGTGATGATAATATTGTGGAACATAAAAATTTCAAGTTAAGATGAATAGCAGATATATTAGTACAGTCCACTACAACATAAATGTACTGATCTCAATAAATATAAAACAATTTTATGACATTGTATGAAATATGTTCAACTTTTTGTAAACAATGAAAAGCAATTGTATTGTTCCAGAATTTTTTAACTCGCTCATTTCCTTAGTTTTGGAGAATATATGTATTGAACAATAAAGAGCAACATTTTTGGGGTTTCAATTTTCCAAATAGTGCACATATAGTAATTTTTTTGCAACTTTTCTACAGCTTTTTACTTTCCTTGCTTTTTCCTAAAGTTATGTAATGCTGTGGAAAATCAATTTTGAGATTTCAACAGAAATACACGTTTTGGGGTCCCCTGACACTAAGGGTTTTTCTTTTTCAAAATGTCCATCATTACTAGGGCCTAAACCAAGAATAGGATTTTTTCCAAATTGAAGAAACCCCTGTCCATCTGGCTCAAGTCAAAGCTTTGAGATTTTGAAAAACGTTTTTTTTTTTTTTTTTTTTTTTTTTTTTTTTTTTTTTTTTTTTTTTTTTTTTTTTTTTTTAATTTGGAGGTACTTTAAATGAAGTTCCTGGGGCATTTACAACATTTTTCAAAAAAACTTTTCTGAATTTTTTTCTTTAAATTTCTTGTAAGAATAGAGTGAAAGATGCTTGTAAAGGTGGCATAGGTTCAGTTTTCATGGTAAACTCTGAATTTTGGAAATTTGCAATAGTTAAAATATTTTTCGGACTCTTCCTCCAATTAAAAAATTAAAGAGATGACATTTTTCCTTCAAATAAAATTTCCATAGTTGAGTTCTTTCATTAAGGTCATGTACATTGTTTTGATAATTTTAATAGTGTGTGCATGATATTGCGAGCAATAAGCTCAATTTTAAAAAACTTGAAAAACAAGATTTTCTCAAAAACCGTTCCAATTTTTTTCTTAAATCCTCAGTATAGATAAGAGCTAAATGCACTTTATAATGTATTACATAAACAGCATATTGTTCTATTTTTTAGTTTTTCAAAAAGTACAAAACTGAATTTTCTTTTAATTTTTATTTTATTTTTACTCTTCTCTCATGTCATTAATATTTAATTAGCGGTAATTTGCTCGCATTATTATATTTATTAGCGCATGTGCTTTAAATAATATCATATAAATTTTCTTGCAAACTCAACCGTTTCCTGTGAAAGATAGATCAAAATTCTTCAGTTTCAGAAATGATCAAAAGCCATTTTCTGAAAAAAATGGCTCCAAATTTTTTCTTCAAACCTTTTGAAAGGATAGTGCTAATTGCAATCTTTAGTGAGACATAATGTTCATTTTGGGGTATTGTTTTTTCAAAAATTACACTAACGTAATATTTTTGAACGATTTCTCACTATTTATATGCACATTTCTAGCAATTTGTAAACAATATTGTATTTGTGTGTTAATGTTCTCAGAATTAAGTTTTTAGAACCCAAAAACTTTCTGTGAACAAGAGCTTCAAATTTACAGTAGCACTTTAAGTGTCACGGTCTTAAACACAGCTCCAAATCTTGTAAAGAAAATTACCATTTAGGTCAAGGTTTTACTTTTCTTTAATATTCATAAAATAATATTTCGGTTTTACTATAAGAAAACCAAAAAATCAAGTAATTAAAAAAAAATGATAGATGGCAGCTGGCAAAAGTATATGACAAGATGTAGTAGTATGTAGAAAACATACAGGAAAGTATATGGCATTTTGTAGCATCATGTTTTTTTGGGTAATGTAATCAGAGTTCAGCTAGTGTGCATTTTAAAAATAAGGTAAATAATTTTATAAGCATTATATTTTTGAATTATTGTTCTATTCAAAAGTCTCAAGAGTATGGGTGGGGGTGCTTTTTACCTTGCTAGCGCCCCTAGGCAGATGTCTGAATAAATGGAAAAGCACTCTTTTTTGTGTGTGTGTGTGTGTGTGTGAATTCTATATTGACATTTCCACTACAACTACTATTGTTAATTTAATATATATTTCATTCCAAAATTACCATTTTTAGAATAATTTTAATGCTACAGAATTTTCATATTCATGTATACAATTGTGTTTTTAGTATGTAACTTGACCTATTTGTTTGGGAAACGTTGGTGAATTTTTTCACACATGTACAGAAAAAAGCTAGAATAAGGAAATTTTATTTAAAAATTTTGTTATACACTGTAAACATACATATATTATGATTGTCTTGTAGTTTGATTTCAAAATTTGCAACAGATTGGTTCATCATGCTTACAATTACAAGCTAAGCATATATACCTTGTTCTACTGTTTTTCTTCTCTTTAATAAATGGATGTTGCTTAATATCTTCTCTGTACAATTAGTTTCCTAATCACAATTCCATGCATTTCTGCTCAAACTCATTGATTCTAAAGATGGGTACATTTATTTTTCTTATTTTTAAATTTTCATCAGCATCTAGGAATCCATTGTTTTAAAAAAGAAAAATTTAAGAGTAATTATTTAGTTAGATTTAAATGATTTGGAGTTGTTAGTTTTAAAAAAATATTGATTACTCTGCAAAAATTTTATGTATAGTAAATATAAAATGAAAATGTTAATATATTTATTTATATATTTTTAGGTCCGGTTCTGTGTGCAGCAGATCCGTCAAACAGAAGAAAAATATCTCGCAAGTATAAAGAAATGTAAAGAAGCCTATGCAACTGAGATGGAAAAATTGCGTTCAGCCTTAGCAGAAACTGAAACAAAACTTGCTACCACCACAGAAACTTTAAGAGAGACAAAAACAATTCTGGAAAAGGAAAGATCTGTAAAGGGCAACGATAAAGAATTGAAGACCAAAGTCTTAGCATTGGAGAATCAATTGAAAAATGTTGCATTAAAAGCTGAAAAGACAGAAAAGACCTTGGAATCCACAAAAGCAAAATATCATGCTGCTAAAAAGGCAGTTTACAAATATAAAAAATTCATTGAAGCTCAACAAAAGCACATGGAGAAAGAATGGGAACGGATAAATGTTGGATATCAACAAACTCTCAATGAAGTGCAACAAAAATTAACTAAGCTTGTTTGCTGTAAGGATGATGACACATGCAATAATACATTATAACATAAATATTAAATGTACAGGTTTTGTAAAAATGAATTGTAAATACCCTGTATAAATTTTCCAAATATATTTTTTTTATTCATTGAATTGAATTTTTTAAATGTGTGTCTGGTTTCTTTAGGTTCTAGTGCAAAAATTTGTCAATTCTGTGATTTATCATAGAAACTTGCCCTAATAAATTATCCTTCATTTTACACAATGTTCTTCCCAACGCGATTGTTATATCTGACGTATCCACGCCCGGAAGAAATTTAAAAAGACCCGCCAAACCTGCATCTCAGATTGTCAAAACAATTAATTTTGAACTTGTTGAAGAAGTTTGTTTGAAGAAGTTGTTTCAGAGAAGAGCTCCCCCACATTTCTATCTTTTTGTGTCGCCTCGTCCGTAATCAATACAACCCATATCGATCCCTAAGGAGAAGCTTGGAAGTTGTAGGACATGATCTTGAGATATCTCCGGACACTTCCGTACCTCGTTTAATTCACTCAACAATGGGAATACGTGGCACTACGATCGAAAAGATCCAGTGTGCTTTCATACCGACACAAATCAACTTTCCCGCAAGAAACCATTTCCTGTCGTCCGCTTTCACGATTTAAGTTAACGGTCAAAGTAAAATGTTGGTAGCACTTTACCTGGGGAACGCATAAAATTCTGTGGCTTCTCACGGTAATGAAAGGAAAGTAAAGATGAATGTTTCGTGTACTACGAATATACCCACACATTCAACATTCTCCACCCGCTAAATTGCTATTCTTGACGAAATCTAACTCGTTCGAAGACTAATAAATGCTGTCGATCAATAAATTCCCAAATAACTTACCAGATGGCAACACAATCGCGGCAGACTTTCTGTGGGTAATGCGATTGGCTCCTTCGAAAGTAGTCCCATCCATGTGTTACATTTCCCGCCTCTTGTGTTCTGTTATTGTGTAGACCCCTCTAAGACGGCATTGGGACACCGCGAATACGTTGTGGCGAGTGTCCGTGTCCGTCATTCCCGGTTAGAAGGTAAAGATAGAAGGAAGTGGCACGTAGTGGTCGATTGTGGTCTTCAAAGGATTACAGTGAGGCATGGAGAAGAGGATAGAACTCGAAAAGCGGGGAAGAAACCCGGCGAAAGTGAGTACAACGTTTAATTTTATAAATTTCAGCAACAACGTAATAGCATAATGTGTTGGGCGAGTGTAGTTTGTAAAAGGTGTCGAAATTTTGTTTTGTGCCCAAGTTTTCGGAAATTATTTGAAATATTGTGGCGTTCGTAACTTGGTGGATACATATGTTGTTTAGTAAAATACTGTTGCGTTGTCTTGGCATGCTTTGTTGTCATGTATGAACAGGTTGGAATATTGAATACCTAATTGTTGCACTGTACTCATTCAGTGAAGTTTTATTTAAATTAATGTTTACCTAGGTAGGCGTGCAAATGAGAATGTGTTGGCGTGGGCAGACCTAAGTTGTGATTAGGTATAATTTGAAAGTTAGCGTAATTCAAATAAAGGTTGATATTATTATACACGATGCGAATGGATAAAAAATTGATCTTATATTATTTTGTTGAGGATGTAACTTTATTTATGTTTTAAAACTTGCCATATAAACAAGGTATGGTCTCTTGTTTTCTGACGATGTTATAGCATGTAGCAATTATTTTGTGAAAATGTCGCTAGGGAGTTCGAATTAAGAGCAGTGTTTATTGTCGAATGTTTATTGATATTATCTAAATGTTCGTGTTTTGGAATTTAGTAATGATGCGTCCATGGCGCCATGTTGGATTCTGTTTTTTATTTAAGAGAAAAACGTTTCCAAGTCGTCTCGGATTAACAAAACAATACCGTTGTATTGTTGTGTGTGCACTTCCGTTTGAAGGGCGTTGTTTCGCGAAAGTTGATGTTAAACTGAGGATGTAAGATGGACGCGGCATCGGAACATCGTGTAGTCTTGTTTACCGGTGATGCACCTCGTATCGGAAGCGCCTAAGTGACGCGATGGCACTGATATGCAAATACATGCATTTTCTCAAACGTGATGCTGTTCAGTGTTCTGAATGGCTGCAAAGGACAATTATGCTCTGGATATATTTTCCTAAATGCACTTGTATTTTAGCGGGTCGCCAAGCGGCCATGATGGTGACCCTGTTGTACATTTGACCGTGCACGTAGGCAGTTTCCTTGACAATTTACGTATGATAATACAGAATTTACTCTGACTTGCGAACCTTTTAAGATAACATTATTAGCGTCGCATAGTACATACCGAAATTACTTAGCAACGGTTACGTCCATTATGTTTACGGGAAGTAGTTATGCCTCATTTCTGCCGACTCCCAAACAACGCAGAAACATCACTTCTCCCACCGTGTTACATACGCGTTGATGGTACCGCTACGAGGTGTTCACGTTGCGATCAATAAAGTAGTACCTCCCATATCGGTGGGTTTGCGCATTCGCCTTCGTAATACACGAAATACGTGGATGTTGACATACGATTCATTTTATTTAGTCTAGATCGGAGTAACCACAGATTTTGTTGAATGAGTATTTACGATGCTTTTAGGCGCTTTATTTAAAAACGCTCGTACTTGCTATTGGCCCCCCAAAAATTCTAGAATAGCTTATTTCTTAAAGTAAATATTCTGCCGCTCTGGTTTACGGAAATAGCGGGACTGTTTGATTCTGAACGTGTCTGGCCAATATCAGTCGAATGGAATGGCCGTGTTGATGAAATATAGTACTAAACCGTCCATTTTTCTCAGGAAGCAATGTTGACGAGAATGGTGTTGGAAATCGGGAATCTTTGGTTCATCAAATCAATCTAGGAAATACCACTGTTTACGGTCCAATGAGTAATTGAATTAAATTGCATTCGAAGAAATAAAGATTTGTTAGTTAGATATCCAAGAAAACTGAAGTAACTACAGAAACTGAAATCGCTGCTACAATAAAAATGATTGAATAATAATCAACAATTTAGTTTTCTCAAAAATTTCTTCCTTATATGAAAACCATAAATGTGCAACGTAATTGATTTTTTTACGTAGATTATAAATACCCTTGATATTGTAAAAAGCAATATTTTGTCAAGATTAATTTAAGTTGAATTAACAGTAGTTCCTCATTTTCCTGTAATTCTAAAATAAAAAATATTACCTCACATGTTTTGCCAAAGAAAAGATGTGGGGTTGTACATTTCACTTTTCTAAAATTCAAGTTAGTTTTTTTGGAGTGAAATGACGAATTTTTTTGGTTTAGAGCATTTTGATAAGCAATAAAACCTGAATAACTGGCAGATTTGTTCTTAGGGCTAGACAACTTTTAAATGCCTTGAAATTTACTATCATGGAAACCTTTTTTAATGTAATTGTATTTTCAAGCTAGATTTGTAATGTTCAAGTTTGCAGAATAAATTCAGGGTATTGTGCAAAAGTTTTAGGGTCTTCAAATTGTTATTCTGAGCGTTACTTTTTATTTAAAGAAACATTTAGTGTAGCTTGGGAAATTTAGTTGTATGTTAGTCTCTTTGAATCATTTTCACTTACTTTTCATGTTCAATGTGTAGATTTTTTGGTACTACTTGAATAAAAATCTGTATCTGTAATTTGCAGATAATATAGATGTACCCGTGTAATATTCGTTACTTTCCTCAATTTTTTTGAGGTAACATTTTCCTCTAATATCAGATTATGCACAATGGTTGCAGAACAAGTAAATGAAGTAATGCACACAAAAGAAGGTTAATTCTTGCCAGAATGGTAATTTGCTCTCGCATGAGGAGTAGAAATTGAAGGATAAGAGCAAGGTTTCACTAAAGAATCATTCAAGTCATGCCATGTTTATATAATTGGTTTCAGACTAATTTTTTAGTTAAAGCAAAACATTGAATACATTGCTTTGTTTAATGACTAAATTTTCCATTTCCACAGATCCTGGAGTTGAATCTGGACAGTTGCAGGAGTACCAGTTTTGTTGGTTTCAGTGATGAGTTCACAAATTTACAGTCTTTAAGTTTGATAAATGCAGGTCTTACAAGTTTGAAAGGTTTTCCAAAACTACCAAACTTAAGAAAGGTAAGAAGCACAGAATTGAAGGCTGAAAGACATTCCTTCTCTCAATTTTTATTCAATCTTTGCATTTTGCTTAAGTAGTGCTGAAGATTCTGTCTTAACTGTGTTGTTGACATTTCTTTCAGTTGGAGTTAAGTGACAACAGAATTTCCGGTGGTTTGAATGTTTTGGTTACAAGTCCAAAGTTGTCACTCCTTAACCTTAGTGGTAATAAAATAAAAGATTTGGATGCCTTAGAGCCATTGGTAAGTAATTATTTCTTTATATATATATACACTCATACAAGCCATTTATTTTACAATTAATCTTCCCCAAAGTTGTGATATTTATTGCTAACAATCCTCTTTTAGATGTTAAGCTTTTAAAGAAATTCGGATTTTTTGTGATTATTTGTTTAATTAAGTATCAAAGTACTTTCTTTATTGCCTTACAATTTTGTTCTCTATAGGCTGATTAATGCAGAGAACGTGTTTTTATTATTGAAGTTTGATTTGCTTCAGTGTAAAAGGTTGAGATAGTAAAGCTTCTTATAACATGTAGGATGATGCAAACATCACTGGTGGGTACTTTTTTAATAGTTTTGTTAATGTCTTGTAATTTTGTGTTACAGAAAGAACTTAAGAATTTGAAATTCCTGGATTTGTTCAATAATGAAGCAACTCTTGTTGATAACTACCGTGAAAAAGTCTTTGGTCTCATTCCCAGCCTCAAGTACCTGGATGGGTAAATATTAATTTGAATCATTTTAGTTGTGAGAAAAGGGTGTGAATAAACATTAAATATATATACTCTTTCATTTCAGATTTGACAAAGATGATAAAGAAGCTGAAGACAGTGAGGTAGAAGACGATGAAGTAAATGGGAACGAGAGTGGTAAGAACATGCTGGGATTTTAATATAAATATTTAAATTTATAAATATCAAATATCTCTATTAGCAAATGGTTTGTAATTTTAGAACTTCACTAAATGAAGTGCTAAATCAGTTTGACCTGTAGTGTTAGAATCTCTTAATTCTCAATCAGCATTTTTCCTGTAGAACTGTTAAAAATGCTGGAATGTGATGTTCTGTTTTCAGATGATGAAGAAGGTCTTGACGAGGAAGATGAAGACATAGATGAAGAGGGTGTAGGATTGGATGCGGTATACAAAGATGATTTAGATGTGAGTTTGATTTTGTTCGTAGTTTTGAGTTACTGATCAGTTCAATAAGTTTTGATCTCATGAATCTCTCTATTGTATATAGGAAGAAAGTGAAGGTGACGATTATGAAGGAGAAGGTGTAGAAGATGAAGATGAGGATGAAGAAGAAGATGAAGATGAGTTGGGAGAAGAGGAGGAGGAAGGAGATGAAGAAGATGGTGAAGAAGGAGAAGAGGGGAAGGAAGGTAACCACAGTCTATGTACCAAGACTTTTCCAAATGTTTGTAAAGTGTTTTACAAAGGAAATATCCATTCAATTTCACCCAGATAAAGAACGTTTTCTTTGAAATTTTGCATTTTTATAGTTTATGACTTTCTTGTTAGCAATTTGTAAAAGATCTTCACCTTAAATCGAAATGGAGGAACATCAGAGACATTGCTTTGAGTTCTTAGGACATTTTGTTGTGATTAATTAACAGAAAGTTGTTTGTCAACTTGTATTATTGATAATGTATTAAATTTCTTTTGATGTTAAAACCATTACCATATTTGTTCCAGAAGCAACACCACGAGGAAAGAAGAGAAAGCATGAGGATGGTGACGGCAATTAGGCCTTCTCCATTCCAACTCACACATGGCGGGTTGTGCTGGTGTGAGGAGCCTGTGAGCTCGTGGACAAAGAGACTGAGAGGAGTTTGTTATGGCAGTGGGCTGTGGCGACTGTGTCCGGTGTAGCAAGCAAAGTTGATGTCGCATTTTTTTAACGTCTCGGCCAATTTTAAATATTAATTATTAGAAGAGAAGAGTGTGAATTTGACCTTAGGTGTTAACGGAGGCAATTACTCTGCTGATGCACTGGAAATAAATGCGGGCTGGCCACGGTGCTGCTCTCTCCACAGTTGGGAACACTGGATGCGGTTGGGCAGTGCTCAGGATGCTGCCTTTGCCCAGAGGAACTGGATCCCCCAGTCTCTTCTACTCTTGACAAGGGTGTGTGTGTGTGTGGTTGTCCAATTCGGCGCAAGATACATGATGGAACTCAAAGGCTAGAGATATCTTTTTGTACAGGATTTAATATATTGCAAAATAATCCCATAAACATATGATTATTGTTCTAATTGCACTGTATCCCTGCACATGTAGCAGAGACATCTTAGCATCTAGTGTAAAGGACTGCTAATTTGTTTTTATGAGAGACCTGTAGATTTAAGAGTTGATGAGATTTGTCCAGACCTGGTAAGATCCAGTACTAGAGAAATATATCTTAGTTCGTAAAAATGCCTTACCGATCAGCACCAATGGGTCTTAATTTATGTCTTAACTAGGATTCTCTGCCTGCCGGCATGAGATATCTTTGCCCTCCAGCCTGCCATAGACTGCCAAGGGTTCGGTTTATCCAAATTGAAAAATAAAGTACAAATTGTCTGATATTTTGTATCACTGAATTTTTGAGTGCTGGGATTCTATGGTAGGCAGGAGGGATATGTTACTTTTTAAGAAACCTGCACTTCATACATTTTCTGGTGATCAAAAGAACTGTTATCAAAATGGATTACTTTGTGTCCATCACATTTATCAGGTAAATGTATTGTCTGTCAGTTTTGTTGTTAAAATGAATTTTCCAGAATTGTCTTTTTAATTTTGTTTCCTTTCCCTTCCTTGTTCGGTATTTAAAACTGAAGAAAATTTTACTATTGTGGTAAAATACGTGTTTAATAACATTCAGTAGGTTATGGTAATTTTAGATGTTTATAGGATAATTGTGTAGTGTGCTTTTGACAAAATTAGGATTGTGAAATGAATACATTCTTATATACTTATAAGTTTACAATCCAAAAAAAGTATTGTATTTTTTTTTAATTGCAGCATGGTGTGTGTAAGGGGAGGGGGCATGCAGTTTCATTGCTTTCAGTATGGATCGTTTTTAGTATGAAGTTGACAATGTTCTCAATTGTGCTTTCAGTAGATGGTAGGTTCTTTAAGAGTTGTTTGACATGTCTGAATTCTGGCAATTGGGAGGTCAAAAGTAGGAATTGCATCATCCCATTAATTTTCAGTTGGTCTGCTGTAAATTTTCTTCTGAAAAGAATTGTGCATTCTGTTGCTTTTTGATATGGCTTTGAATTGTTGCTAACAATTTTAGACAGCTTCTGCAATAGGATCCTGAAAATTAATTATAAAGTTATGATTTCAGAATAAATATAAGATTAGTTAAAATAGTTGTGATGTAATATAATTTGCACGCTGCAATACTACACTAAGGAAATGCTCTTCATACATGCACTTGTTTGTCTAGGGAAGGCATTTCCTAATACACAATGCCTACACCAGCATTCAATGCTCGCCAATTATAAATTCTGATCGGTTTCTTGGCAAACTAGTGTTCTTATCATTTTGTTAATTTTTATTGGAAGCTTTTTAGTGTAGGATATAACAAAGAGAATGAACTATTTTTGTAACATTAAATTTATTATTATAGCGTGGACAATGAAATGCAGGATGCTAGTGATAAGTTCATTCTCTTATTCACGACTTAAAAATTGGGAGCTAGAAATGTTTGTAATTCAGGAAAGAATCGTATGAAATTTCTCAAAGTTGTTGAGAGTAACTGAGTCTCAGGGGCATTTTCAGGAACAATTTTGACAAAGTCAAATTTCTGGCTACAAAAAATATCTGGATAAAACCAATTTAATAGAGAAAGTACTGTTCTCATTGAAACAACTTAATATTTCATAAAATATGAGACTTCTGAACCTAATTATATTTTTGGAGGTTCAGTTCATCAGGGTAATATGATTGCAGAATATTGAAGTGCTTGATATTTTGTACAATAGCACTAGTAAGCTTTGCTAAAATGTTAACCCATGCAGAGATGAAGGGCAGAGGGTTCATAGATCACTTTTAAAAAAAATTTGTATAGAATGAAATGGTTGCACGAGTAGAACTTTCTTAAATATTGTGGGATCTCTCAATCACAATTGGTGTTTGAAGTAAAAATTGTCCAGTAACGCCTCTAAATATATAATGCCTTAAGGAAAGACGAGAATATTCAATGTGACTTGCAGCAGTTTTAAACGTGTCCGGGAATTAAAAGAAAACTGCAGCCTCTGGCCTGTGAGAAGCGTCTGGTTTCTTTAAATACTCGGTATCCCGGGAAAACTCAAAACAATGATATACGTTTTTGTCCGAAAATTGCAAATATTTAATTGTGTTGCGCTTTTAATCATAATTCGCGTACAGTAATAGCATTCAAATGCGTCTCTGCTCAAGGCAGATAATACGCGACAACAATGCTCCGAGTAAAAGACCGCCTGTCATTAAAAACGTACGTAATTAATTGTACTGTGTAACTAAACTATACCATATCATGGTAATATTCGTGAAAACGTATTTGTTTTGAACAGTGTGCGTGCTACTTGCTGGAAAACCTATTTTGTGTGGTTTTCTTCACCCGCATTTTTGCTACGGTAGGCTGTAGGGAACCGGGAACTTAATTGCATCAATAATGTCGCCATGATGTTCGTGAATACTTAGTTTTTTTTATCCTTTTGAAATTAGCACATATTATTATAAATGCATTATTTGCAAAGCGAACCCAGTTTTATTGTAATCATTAGAGCTTGAAAGTTTGGCAATATACCTTTTTTTGTTACGATTTTGTGATTTTTAACAATTGGAATCGATTGTACTTATGGAGTTATTTTAGATTTTAATTTTGGCCTATTTTAGCTTCTGATGCCTATTTTTGGACATTTGCATATTTCTGCCTTATATGTGCCTTTTTCGTCATTATTGCCACATTTCCCTCTCCGCAAGCTGGAAACGTACCTGCAAGCTTGGACGACATGAAGACACGGTCATGTATTGTCTTTCTGGGAACTCGGAGGTTCCAGTGTCAGATTGGGTTAAAAATCTAAAAGGGAAAGGATGATACCAGAGAAGATTTTTGATATTTTTCATTAATGCTCACAGCGTTGTTCCCTTTTAAGGACAGGGCTGTCAGTACAGTATATGATTCTCGTTTCCCTTCTGCCGATTACACAAGTGCAAAGAACGAAATCTAAAATTACGTTTTCATAGTTAGTATTTCAAGATTCAAAAGGGAACCCACAAAACCATTTCGCAGAGACAGCGACGCGAGTAACATAAAATCGTAATCACACCGGATGGTCATGTGCTATGAAGATTACAAAGAAATACTAGTTTTCTACCGCGAAAGTTTGAATGTAAATTTTGTTGTAGAATAAAAATGTGAATGGTTTTAATTTTTTATCTTTTTTTACAATAATTACTTTTAAATGGCGGTTTTTCAACGTTTCCTGCGTTTTTACGTACTTACTTTAGCTAGAATAAATGCCTATTTTAGTAAAAATAAATGCTTTTGTGGCTACCGATTTTTAGGTAGAAGGGACAACTGCCCCCCCCCCCGAATATTAGAACAAATTTTAAAAATAGATATTTAGACATTTCATTAATTTCGCGTATCTTAAAATTTATTCTTTAAAAGATATACTTTTTACTTTCTTGCCCTTACTAACGTAGGGGAGAAAAGTTCATTTTACCGAACACGATTACATAATTTTTTTTTTTTTTAAGTTTTGTAATCGTGCACTGGAAAATGACGAATTATTTGCGGAGCCCTGGTAACGAAAATGCGGACAAATCCAGTTGCTAAATACAGAGAAAAATTCCTCTAACACGCTGTGAAGCCAAAATTGATGATTTGTGAGTTGATACCGAAAAATCGATTGACAGCAAAATGTCTCTGCACAACGCTAGCACACACCGTTCAGCCGATTTTCTTCAAACTGATGTAGTATCTCCAATCGTTCTGGTTGACGTTGCGTCAGAAATTTGAAGCCAATATTTTAATGTTGAGTGACTTTACATGATGCTCCTCAAACATTTTCAAATAAAAGGCACATTTTGTTATTAAACTTTGCCTCGAATAGGATAAATGGACGCTTAAAAGAATGCTGGAGGTCTCATTTTCGTTGAAATCTCTGATTTTTTGGCGTCTTCCTAAAACTTTAATATTGAAGACAGATAGTTTTTACTAAATGGAATCTGTTCCTTAAAGACAGATCTTGAAATAAATTCACGCTCAACTTTTCGAAAATATGAGTAGTTTTCGTATGTTTTTAGAAATAAAGGCAATTTTTAAAAAAATCTCAAAAATTGCTCCAATTTTTTTCTTTAAATTTTCTCCACATATGTAATAAGTGACGGTAAAAAATATAGTACTAGTTCAATTTTCTGCTATTGTTCGGTTTTTCGAAAATTGAAAAATGTTAACATTTCAAAACTACAAAATTGAGGATAGAGATTTTTGCCTCAAAGTCTGTTTTAAAAAACCTGCTCTCTAAAAAAGGTCACACAATTTTTGGAAAAAAAGAGTAATTTGCGGTTGAACTTATTGCAATTGTTTAAAAAAATTATCGAAAATCGCTCAAAAAAAGTCCCCTCGCATAGAAGTGACGCTTAAAAGAATGACGCAGAATTTTCGTTGAACTCTCGTATTTTCGAAAATTGCAAAAACATTTGAAAACTATAAAATTGAAGATATAGGTTTATGCTTTAAACAAAATGTTCTAAAAATATCAGCTCATTAAAGAGTGTGAAGTACATTAGTTTGAAGGAAAATACAAGTTGTTTTGGGAAATTTCTGCTTGAAATTAATGAAATATATACTGCTGTCCCACCGACTGCGAGCCACGAGAAAAAATCTCGGAGAATAAGAATGAAAAATAATTCCATTTTAATCATAATTTACTATTAGAAATTCCAATATTAAGTCTATTTTTACTGTATTCAAGAATATGTATCCTCAATGTATTGAAGTATTTTCTTTTAAGCACTCCTTAATTTAAATTTGCGCAACAATGCAACAATGGATCTTTGAAAAGTTCATTGTCGAGCACCGAGATGGTAACGGCGATGAGATAAAGCGACTTTATTTACAGTCGAGCTTGTATTGTACGTTTACAAATTAGCCTTTTATAAATGGTATGATACATTTGATAATCCACATTTTTTTGTCCTTGTTGAGAGTTATAGAACAGACATATTTTCGTAGAACGAAAGGTCACTTATCTATGCATATTTCAGCATTTCATCAGCAATATATTCCGTATTAGAGACTTTCCAAATTTCAATGAGTATAAAGCGATACACTGGAGCGTCAGTTATCCTTCTTTTTATAATAGGGGAACATTGAAGGATTCATTTTACTATTTGAAATTTTATTTCTCGTATATTAGTTTGGTGACAGACCAATTGAATGAAATAAAAACACTGGATAATGTGATTCAACTTTAAAGTTTTAGTTTCATGCGCTTCGTTTGAAGCAATGTTAATAGACAAAAGGCGGTAATAAATTAAATTCATATTAAAAATCGTGGAACGTTAGTAATTAATTAGTTTATTAGTATTAGAGTTGGATATCTGTCAACTGTGTATGATATACTACGACTATGCGAAAAACAAGTTGAAATGTGAGTGTAGATGGAAATAAGCCCCAAGAAAATATTCACCAAGCATACAGGGAAAAGTCATTCAAAGTGGTGACACTAGCATATTTCAACATATAACAAACTAAATTATCGGTAAAAAAACAGTTTGAAAAATATTTCGATGTTACGTAGAACTTGGACTATTCGAAGTAATGGTTTTTGTGTTTACAAAAACATTGACTTTAATGGAAAAGTACCTTTTCGTGAAAATGTGCAATGTCCCCGTTTGGCTAAAATGGGGTACTCACAATTGATCAAATGTTGAAGACATTTATTACAAAACATTTATAAAGTCAATAAGTAAACTCTGGCAAGTACGATATATAAGAATAAATATCTTGTCATTTTGTAAATTTATTTTTTATTAATATTCTATTTAGTTCAGGAACAACGAAATCACGCAAAAAGTCACAAATAAAAATGTCATCCCTTCTTCAGCATTGAAACAAGCTTCATGTGCCCAACTTTCACAGGTACCACACTAACCAGATTTCGATTCCTCTGGGATTCCTTTAAAGCTCATTGCAGAAGAAAGGGGCATCATAGCATCTCAGGGGGGGGGGGGGGGGGAGGCTCCCGGTTTTGGGCCACTTCAATATCCCCATTTGTGCAGGCCATGACAACCGCTAGCAAACATGGCGTCTTTTTGCAACCATACGAGATAACATAATAAATTATATGTTAAAATGTACCTTAAAACTAGGAGAATCAATGCTTTACTCACCAAAAGTGAATGACAAAAAGTAGCTAGTTTAAATCCAATATACTAGTTAATTGAAATCGTAGCGGTTCTCAATTGCAAGCACGCATCCACATCTCCTCTTAAAGTGTTTGACAGGCCCTCTTGTGTAGTAGTACCACGTTTAGCCACCCGTAAGAAACCGAACGCCCCCGTTTAACCTACAGTCTCCAATTTCAACAACTTTCCCCTTTGCCAAACGAATTGCACATTGTTTTGACAACGCTCCTTTAGCAACAGTACGTTGCTCGCTTCTGTATAATGTGCTGTGAATACTGTAACAGTCCCATTTTTTCCTGTTAGTTTCATTTGTAAAAGAAAGAAATGAATGCAGACATACATCCCGAACGCTTTGTCTAAGTTCGTTGAATCGGACATTTTCAAGTAATAGTCGAGGTGTTAGAAGTACAGTAATTGAAATATTTCTATATTACGTAGCTCTTTCCAACGTTGTGAGAAAGTATATTCTGTTTAGCGTTAGTAGTTTCTCTATTTTGAGAAGAAATGTAGCAACAATTAAGTGAACAATAGTGTTATTAAGCCGAGCTAATAACATAAATCAATAAATCGGTGAACTTAAGTTCAGTATAATAAAAAGCGCGGTATAATGTTCAAGGTTAATGTGAATTTCCCATAGCAATAAATCATCTTTCAATTATATTTCGCTTTTAAACGTTATTTATTTAGAAATTAAACAGTTCCATGTCTATAATCGTGAGTCACCTTCAAATTAACTCTTAAAGCCAACCATAATTTCCTAATTATTATATAAAAATGATATATGGTACTCAAATTTCAAAATATAAAACAAAATCCGAACCGCTACAATATAATATTATATTTATATACATATATTATATTTATATCTTATGCATCAAATTCATTGTCACCAATAGCGGTTATTTAAAAGTAAATTGTTTAATACAAGCATACTGATTTTCGTACATTTTTATTATTATTTAAACAAAGAAAATTTTAATTAATTTACCAAATACTTACCCCACTCCAAATTTGCACCCCAGCTCCGATAAAAGATCCGAAATCCCACCTCTGATTTTAGGTAAAATAAATGCCTGAACTTCCGGACTCTACTAATAATTATTAATTAGCTCGACCCACACAGATACTACAAAGTACTACGCAGTTTGTAAATCTTCATTATTTGTAGAAATAGCTTCATGCTCAATGAAACTTAGAACATTTCTGATAACTCGTACTTCGAAGTGGGACTACCCTCCAAAAATGTATCTGCTGTATGTTGCGGTATAAGAAACATAACCCAGTTTAAAGGACGTAACATGCATGTTGTCCGAAATATTCACGATGGTAGTGCACTGTTACGTATGGTGTGGGTTGAAACGTGCCTGCATTTCCCCTTCACTTCTTTAGCAATTTTCGAAAATTCATACTTAAATCGGACCGTGTAGTTCACTCTATTCTTATAAGAAATTTAAAGAAAAAAACTGAAACCATTTTTGAGAAAATTTAAAAATGTGTCAGGAGCTTCATGAAAATGATTCCCAAAAATGACCCATTTCGGCCATTTCCTTCTGAGGAACGTTGCAGTATGATAGCAAAAACGTAGTCATCTATTCCATCAACAACGCATCTCTCAAACAATCAAGTATAAATTTCTTTGTTCTACCTACACAAGAAAGTGAAAATGGTGTGTGCCAGATGTTAAAAGAAAGACAAATAATTTAATTGCTGAGTACAAGAATGTTTATTATGAATCTATAATTTGACTTACAAATTGAGTAATTTCGCTAGTTATCTTGATCTTACCCTTAGGGTTTTAAAGTAGCAACTATCTGGCCTTTGAATGTGCGGACTTGCGCCAGTTTGTCAACAGTAGGGTCCCACGTGGACTGGAAAAAGTTACCTGCTACTGGCGGCAATTCCAGCCCGTGCTTCTCGGCGAACTTTTGGAGAGAGAAATGGAAGCGGTCGTCCAGGGTGGTAGCGTTGTTCCGTGGTTCGCCATCGAACGTCAGCCTCCCGGGTTGCTTGAGAACCAACACCACGTAGCGATGCGTGCCTGTCTCCTTGGGTGGGCCGGGACTCAAGTACTCCCAGACTGGATCACCAGCGCTTACGTCATTTCCTGCCACGTTCCCCACCTACACACCAAACAAAATAAGTATTATTCGTAGCTGTGGAAAAAATTTGGGAATTTGAAACAAAATTACATTTTTTAATTTCCTAACCCTTCGTAGATAGAGCCCTTCACAGGATAGAACGTTTGTTCTTAAAGCAAACTAGCCTACTCTTTTTCTTCAATAGTTTCCTCTCTAAATGATGTCTTCAAAAACAAAATAAAAAATTTCGCGTAATTGTGAAGCATTACATCAATTTTTCAAAATTGACCTAAACACAGTCTCCAAATGTTACTTTAAAACTGTTTGTACGGTTAGAAAATAATCATGTGTTCAAAGAGAGAGAGGTCAGCGGATCTTGCTGGCCACGGGAGGACCTCAGCATACTCTTGGTAGTGTTGATAGTCTGGAGACGCACGTGCGGTGTGGGGACGTGCTTTGTCTTGTTGAAATACTGTCCCGGGGTGCGGTGCCATGAGGGACGTGCAGACGCAGAATATCTGTAACGTTGCGCTGTGCCGTCAAAGTCCGCCCCTCTGCTCGACCAACCAGCCTTAAGAAGTCCCACACTGTGCCATCGTTCAAATGCAGTCAGTTGGTGGATAGGCTGTCGAACATTCTCGTGGTAATTCCATCTTAATGTAGGTAAACGTTCTTTACTGTCTTACTCTAAGCAGTTGACTGATAACAGCGCAACAACGGGGTGGTGACATCACGAATTCAATCTGGTGGGCGTCCTATACATTACAGATACTTGTGAATCTAAACATTTACTCACAGATCAATGGTATGCTTCTACATCAAAATAGGATAATATTGGACCACTCCTTCCGGGCGCATCATTTTTTTTGTCAAGCAGTGCATTCACTTTAGATATTTGATTCTTTAATTCATGCACCATATCACCATAGCTTCAAATGATCTACTTCTAATTACGTTTCTCGATATCTTAAAGGTTTCGTGTATAGGAAGAAAATCAGAAATAAAGATATTCAGGAACCTCCTTAAGAAATTTTTCTCAAATAAGGCACCCCCGGATAAGATAGTAAAAAGTTCCTCTTCACCAAATGACATATGAATAGTTACACTGTGTTTCCTACATGAAAATAACATTTTTGAAATGCTTTTTAGGCCCCGCTGCATTACTCACACCCCTCTACAGACAAACACGTGTTAGTGTTTCGTCAACTTAACACTTTTATCTGATTGGAAAAAAAAGAAAAAGAATATAATATATACTATCACAAAAACATTTTTTGATATTTCCTCAGTCCCAAATCCAAACGCAATAATATTTTTGAAAAATAGTAACAAAAATAATTTTTTACTCTGTCTTAAAACTCTGGAACACGCTTGAAAAATATCTCAAAAGTTTCCTAGAAACTTGATGTGATTTTTTCCAACTGCTGGACTGTAGTTACAAAATTTAAAATAAATATTTTTACCCTGCATTTTTTTCAGTATTTTACTGATTATTATACATTTGTATATATTGTAGCCGCCACTAATATTTTGACTTTGGAATGTAATTACAAATTGTCATGCTATATATAATGATTTGAATAAGTATATCATACGCTAAGGAAAGATGATAGTTTTGGCAGTTTATAAGAAACTATAGGCACAAAACTCTGTAAGTGTGCTACTGGTGGAAATAGAATTACACCCCGGTCCTACAACGAACAGATTTCGGAGGAAAAAATAAATGTTTGCAAATTAAGATATACAAAAGTTATTATTGCAACCCACATTATTGAAATTACTCGGAAGCAATGCGTCTTAGACCTTTTAAATCAGATTTACGACTTTTTTGAAGACAGGTAAATAATGACAGATGACACGTTTAGGGGGACGGGTAGATGACAGATGGAAAAATGATGAGGGACAGTTCAGGTGCTGGTGATGGATAGATGGGAAGCCAGAGAGGGAAATAAAGGGGCTCATGTTGTTGTTGCAAAATAAGACCTTTTTGAACGTTCTTATACAACTTTGCAGATTTATTTCTTTTGGGTTCCCCATTCCATAGCGCGGGTAGTCAGAAAAGTGCAGATGCCGAAAATAATGTAAAATAAAATTGAAGGAAAGATACCGAAATTATTTTTCACGATATTAAAGAGACAATTTTATTTTTTATGCATTTTAATCTCAACGTTCAGCAATATTGGAATGGTTGTATTTGGCCCGTACTCTATAATGCTGTAAAACATTTTGGAGGATGGGCACTTGCTGTTGGGTGCTACTTTAAATCAATTTTCATTTTTCATACAATTATTATTCACAAAGTTTTCGCAGCTGTCCGTATTGTATGCACTTATTTATACGCATACGAGAATAAATATTTACGTAAGAGAACGTTTCTCTAGTCTGAAACAATTACAGATGTGAGAGCATAGATTTCCGCCGCCGGAGTTAGAAACTACTTGGCTGTCCAGGAGACGCCACGTTCTAGGCACAAATGACGTTTCGTCCGCCATTCTGCGATCTTTCTCCTGGAGGAAGTCACAGATGCCTGGGATGCGGATCACTCGGACAGTCAAGTAGTTAACTGGAAGTGTCTTGTTTTTTAACTTTGGCCGAACAATTGAAATTCACAAGAGGTAATTTGAGATTTTTTGTGCCTGGACGAATGGTCTAAGACACATTGAATTAGTTCTTGTAAATTCGGATCCAAGCTTTCTCCTTCATTACCCCACATGTCCTACATTTACCCTTCACCTATGCCCGAATTGGCTACTTATAAATTGCCAAAAACTACCATATTTCCTTAGCATATGATATACAAATGATTACAAAACATGATATTTTGTAACTACATTCCAAAGTCGTACGTTGGATGCTACAACAATGAATAAAAATGTAAAATAAATACTAAAATAAATGCACAGAACTGTTGCAATCATTTTCAAAGTGTTTTAAAGAATATTACTTGTAATTACACCGTGTGTACGTACGTATACGAGAAAGTAACTAGTGGTGCTAAAACTGGTACAGGCATTCTCGCTCTAGTTAGTTTTCTAATTCCTATGGTGTGGGCTGGCTTTTCTGATTTGCGGACTCTTCCCAGCTACCGCCTATCGCCGCCCGAACTACATTTTTTTCATATTTTCTCCATTGTTCGGTCCTTTAATAATAGAAGCTTTAAGAAAATTAGGCAAGAGTAAAATATTGTCGTAGTAACTTTGATTGAAAAATGTCGAGCTGTTTTAGAGAAGATGTCGTTTAAACGTTCATGTACTTGCGAAATTTGAATTCCTTTTTCACAGAAAACTTTTGAGTGTTCGAGAAAATTCATTGGAAATCATTTGAAGCACTTTGACTTATTAATGCAATAGGTATACAAACTACTTGTAATATAAATATTAACGGTGAGAGAGATATTTAAAAAAATAATTTGTGTAATTTTTGGGGAAAAAAGAATATTCAAAGTGACATTGATGACATGTTTGGGTCATTTAACAGTATCCGTTCAAAAAATTTAAAGAAACATTTTGGACCTAAATTTGAATACATTTTCACCAGAAACGTTTGATTGTTCGAGAAACTTTATGAGACATTATTTGTATCACTTGTAATAAATTCAATAATATATTCAAATCGCAGTTAAAGTAAATATTAATGACTTCAAAAAGTCGTCAAAAAATTACAATTGTGCAATATTTGAAAAATCAAAAAAATAGAATAATATCGCATTTAAGATATCTGATACAGTACATTTAGCACTATCCCTACCAAAAGTTTAAAGTATGAAGGAGCGGGGCAGGGGTGGCGTGGCCGAAGGGTTACAAGAGGCTAGACTGGTGAAAGAGTTGGGAGGAGGGGGCGCGCGGGTGAAGTCGGGTGTAGGGTATTTGCTGGTTAAGGCAAGTTATGTTCTGGTTTTTCAGGTAGTTATACATCAGAAGAGATTCTAACTTTAGTCTGTGCCAGTACATACTTTCAATTTCTAGATTACGGAAATTAGTGTTTGTCAAATACGTGTTTGTTTTAAGTGATTAGCGAAGTGTAAGACTACGATAGTGCTGTCTCCTCACGCTGCCGACCGTCGCTCTGTTCTCTTAAATAAGTCGCACTATCAATAAAAAGCAGAACTTCCTTTTCCCACATAGACTCTGCAAGCTATGAACGGTCCAGTTTGGTGACACATTTGGCATACAATATTACATAACATTTTGTAAATAATTTGTACAATTTCAATTTATACTTCAATTTATATTTCATGTTTCCTATTCTATAATTTTTATATTAGCTATGACGATCGCTAAGCGATTGCAAAGAACTTCAGAGTAAAATATTGATACCTGACGACATCTTTTCTCAAATTATTAGAAGGTATCTACCTCACCAGCGATATTATTAATTACTATTATTTCACTCGAATTTGGAATGTTGGAATACGAGAATGTAACATCCATGAATATTACTGCACTTCTCCCCATAATACGTAACACAGTTTTTACTGCTTTTGGCATTAAATAAATAAATAATAAAAAAGTGTTTCAACGAAGAATACACTAAAAATCGTAAAATATAATATAAAAAATCAAAGTTAGTTCATATTTTATTCTGCTGCATTTTATATATTTTATTCGTCCGGTTGCGATAAAACCTTGTCAACTTATTTCTTCCACATACGCCAAGATTATAGGCATAGTAAGAAAAACGTGCGTCTGTCTGTAGTAAATAGACGCAAAATGGAGGCGTTGTTGATTATGATTTATCAGTTTATGATGACTCAAGCGCCCCTGAACAGAAGCTATACGCAACCCGCCACACTCTCAAGTATTAACCGTATCTTCGGTTCATATTATGTCCCTGCGATTGTAAAATGTCGGTCGGAATTATTTCTTGTACAATACATTATCTCGATCAAGAGAATCAAATTTCGCCAAGTCAGTGTCATAGCGAATGCATACTCAACTTGAATGATAACGTTTTAACAATAGAATACTTGACAACCATGTTCAAACCAGAAGGCAGAAACAAACCCATACTCCCGAGAGTGTCTTTCATCTATTAAAATGTTTGCAGAGAATAGCGTCAAGTAGTAAGCAGTAGCATAGCGAACAAAACGTGATTAACAATCACATGACCATTAGCATGTGAAGTGTAATACATTACAATAGCGAGGCATTGCCACTAGTTACTAATAAGACTTTGTTCTACAAAAAGTATTAATTTGGGTCCCTGCTAAAAGCGAGGTACACGTCGTCGCATTTGTGCTCTCTCATTGAAACTCCCTGCGAATGCACAAGAAGCGTTCACGAACCAGCCAGTGCACGAGCTCGCCGTAGATGTGCTGCTCTATGGTGGGGATGTCGGGGTTGGTGATGGCGACGGTGTAGAGCACGGCGTCCTGGGCGTCCCAGGCGAGGGCGGGCGCGCGCTGGGCGTCGGTGGGCGAGACGTCGGTGCCGAAGTCCACCGCCAGGTCGCCGAAGGAGACGTCGAGCGCCGCGCCGGGCAGCGCCGGCAGCACCTCGGGCACGAAGACGGCCAAGTCGCCGAGGGCGCCCGCGTCCGCTCGCCCCGCCCGCCCCAGTGCCGCCAGCGCCGCCAGCGCCACGCACGCCGCGCCGACTCCCATGGCCACGATGCGCAGGCGCGCGCGCACAGCCTTTTTAAAGGGGCCTCGGGAGGTCGCCTCGGCGGGCGGCGGGCGGGGGCGGATGGAAGAGCGTCCGCAGCGGACGGGGCTGCTGGCGGAGCGAGCGAGAGTGAGTGACTGGCGGGAGTAGCGAGAGCGGGCGGCGCTGAGCGAAGAGGTCGGAGAGGCGACAGGAGACGATTCGGGCGCTGGCGAGAGAGCCTGGGGAGTAGTAGAAGAGTGGACCGACGAGTGGGCGGGAGCGAGCGGGGTCGCTGGCGGAGAGGTGTTAGAGGCGGACCGGGAGCAGCTACAGGTGCGGCGGTGAGCGAAGAGGCGCTGGCGAGAGGGGGCGGAGTATGAGAGTGGCGAGGTGGGCGAGAGCGAGCGGGCGCTGGCGGAGAAGGGAAGCGACTAGTGGGCGCCTTTCGCCAGAGGCCGAGGCGACGGAACCGGGCGGAGCCAAGGCGACAGTGGGAGGGAGTGGGCGGGAGCGGCGCGGGAGCGGGCGGAGCGGGCGGGAGCGGGCGGAGCGGGCGATAACGGCCATAAGCGGCGGAGCCGGGGCAGGGAGCGGCGCGGACGGGCGGGAGCGGGCGGACGGGCGGGAGCGGCGGAGCGGAGCGGAGCGGGCGGAGGGGCGGGCGGCGGAGCGGGCGGGAGCGGAGCGGCCGGGTTAGCGAGTGGGAGCGGCAGGCGCCGGCGGGTGTGGGCGGGCGCAGGCAGCGTGACGAAGGCGTGTGCGCTCCTCGCGGATGTGACGCTCGCTCATTTGGGCTTCTTGCGGCCATAGAAAGGACTGTTTTTATGCAAAGACATTGGCAGCCATACCACCTTCGGCTTGTTGTTAGATGTAATTTTGCTCTGTACGTCACTGAATGGAAAAGAATGTGGCAAACGTGTCATCCTGTTCTGCGAACAGTAATCGAGTGAACTGCGCCCGTCCGCGTGTCCGTCACCCGGTTAGGCCTCTTCCGGGCTGCCACTCGGGCAAATGAGGTGTCACTCGACGAGTGTAGGTTATCTGCTGGGGACCTCACCCTTTTGTGCGGATTAATACAAAATATTATAAGTTTTCTCGAAACAATTGGTTGGTGGATTTAAGCAACTAAACAGGTTTGGTGGAACTTAAAACACCTGCAGACGTGATTAATTCGATTTGTCTCGACAAGATGAATCGAATGCCACTCTACCTCACCAGACCTCTCTAGAATATAATGAAATGATTATAAATGAAAACATTTTTTTTAAAGATTGTAATCCATCTATTTTGGTAATACATTATGAAATGCTAAACTGTTTTTATGAGTTACATAAATCGTTACGAATTGATTAATAAGATTCAATATAATTAACCAAATTCGTAATGATGAACACAATTTTTTTAAAAATATAACCACACTTTTCAAGTTACTTTTTATGTCTTAGGATGAACAAAACAGACATCTGTATTACGGTTAAAATGTCTTTTTCTAATGAACTTGGTATTACTCTGTGGAATAGCTATAAATAATGCATATCATGCAAATACCCACTGGTGAATCCGCGCTAAGCGGTAACTAAGTAATACGTCCGTATGCCCATTGATTTTTCATGGGACGTCCTTTCCTGTACCAAGAAAATATTTTTTTAATTAATTTATTTATAGTCGCATCAACGTTGAGGTTATTAGCGACTTTTAACAGTTACAGATAAATTGTAAAACATTTATAAGGTACTACATTTAATCAACACAATTCAAAGTGGAAGTAGTATTTACATGTTACAAATGTCCAAAAAATATTTGTCGCTTTACAAAGGTTAATTATGTTATTTTGATCTTCAGTGGAATGAAGGTCTTGATTAAATACAAATAACTGCCTTAAATGATTGAATCTTGGACAACCTTTAAAAATGTGATCTAGATTTAGTGGGACTTTGCACAGTTCGCAGGTAGGGGGAGAAGATTTTTGTATTAAGTAATGATGGCTTGGCTTGGAGTGTCCAGATTTTATTCTCGAGAGGACTACTTGTACCCTGCGACGCATTTTCTTACTGGTGATTAGTGTGTCAAAAGTGTTAATAACTTTCTGTAATAAGCTAGTTTTGTAATCTGTTCAATCATGTTTCCATTTATTTAGCATTTCTTTACCAATGTATTTTAGAATATCGTCTGTAGTACATGATTTGTTGTGTACATTGGTGATCATTTTAAGTCAATTGAAGATATTGTTTACTAGAATCTTCACTTGTTAACAGATATTCGATTTTGTTAGGGATTCATGCTAACGCAAAATTTATCCCTGTTTTGTAGATCTGGGCATAAGTTTCCATAATTGCAGTATTAATTTCGGATTTCGTTCTGTTGCACCAGTTCATTGATGTTAGTGAGCTTGAAAGTAGGTTCACATTAGGTCAGTGAAGTTGGAGTGTAAATTAAAGTCCTTACACTAAGCCATAGGACTTTGCACTGTTTTTTCTTTTCTGATTTCCTTGCAGCAGCCGTGGAACAGTTTACTCGGCATCTTGGTGATAAGTAAAAACGTGTATAGGGCGTTTTTATTTGTTATCCAAATATTGAAAGTTAGTAATATATAAATCCAATAATGAAATAGTTTTATGCTGGCCAAAGGTTAGTTGAATCATCTCACAAGTGATTGATGGTTTTGAGTAGCCAAAAAATCGAGTTTGTCCTGAAAAATCCAAGAATTAGATTCCCCATACTGTACGAAAAATCCATTCAAATTCTCTGTTTCCTCGAGAACACGGCACATTAGCACACATGTGCACAGTTTGATTTGAGGGTCAGTCCCGACAGTGGCAGAATTTTCGATACGGGCCATGGGCCGCGCGCCATCTTGCCTTCCTGTTCTTTGTTTTGTCAACACTCCTTACTTACACACACTCACACTTACATGCACTACACTACCACACATGCCGAGAGATCAGTCGTGAGCGTAGAGGTTGATTCGGCTGCCACGGTGCCCCGCTGGTGGGAGATGGTTTGTTACGATAAATCTCACTCAAATAGCCGATGTGGAAAACCCCCGCGTCGAATCTAGCCATCCAACGAGAATAGATCGCCGTCCCGCCTGAGGGAGGAAAACATGCACTGTACTTACGGGAATAATTACCTTATCAGTTGACGCTCCCGGAAACACGAAATAGTCAACCCGTCATTCAATCATATTCAGGGTATATTCTTCTCATGTATATTCTCTAACGTTCCGTTTTATCTTTATTTTTGCACTAAATCGATTCCAAGTAATACTGATAAAAAAACGTCTACTGAAGTCACTATTTATTAATATAATATCACGCTTTTCATGTAACAAGCAGCTTCCATAATTAAATACGGTTAAAATGGGGAGTTTCTCTTTCTGATGTCCATTGTGAACGTAACTTTTTAGGAAATGGTAATTTATCACATTTGTTGCAAATTAATGAACAGGCTTATTTGTGATTTCGTTTCACAAATAGTATATTAAGAAACAAGTTCATATCAAATACAGACATCAAGATCAAATGTACAATTAAGTTGTTCTTTATTGTTGTGAAAATTGCAAGTTTTGCATTTTTCTTCACGGCCAGTAAATGTCATCCTTGGGTTTCGTAACAAAGTAAAAAATGTGTGACATTAGCGTTCTGCTCTTTGCCTTCTCACATTCCATAATTGCAACCTTTTTGTGTGTATGGTCTTTAGGTGGCGAGATTCACATTTACATAAGATTATTCGTGTCTCAATCAGGTTAAAAAATTCGAAAAGTCAGCAGTGGTGACAATATATCGAACAAAAGTCTACAAACGATAAGAGTAATACATTTTATAGTAATTTGAGATTATTTTTACTTTGCGCCCTAACTTCGAAAAAAAGAGAAAGTATTGTAATCGTGTGCCGGAAAACGGCTAATTTTCGGCAGAAAGATATTGCCGCGCCCTGGTAACGAAGAAGTGGATAAATCTTGTTCCTATATATCTAATAATTACTTCCTCTAAAACGTTGTGTACATAGAATGCTGAAACATAATTGTCAGTGTTTATAATTATTTTGAAGACGACAGAATTTTTATATATATATATATATATATATATATATATATATATATATATATATATGTGTGTGTGTGTGTGTGTGTGTGTGTGTGTGTGTGTGTGTGTGTGTGTTTAAAGTTCTATGTGCTAGTAACATGTAGTATAAAACTTATTTGTTTAGGTAAATTAATACATTATACCATTACAGTGCTTATTCACCTCCAGAAGAAAATTTTACATGCGAGGCTGTTGGCCTTGCATTTCTGTTGGAGTAGTTTCGTTTATTAGATATCAAACACAGAATGAAAATGATAATTATAATATACACTGAGGTGACAAAAGTATGATTGGTTCAGTGCATCAACTGATGTCACTGCAGTCCCCGTGACCGGGAGGTCCTAGGTTCGAGTTCCGAAGATGAAAGGGCTTTCAACATTAGCTTGTCAGCTAGGTCAAATTCAGCCGTTGTCTGGAGGAGAATTCTAGCGGCCATCTGCTCAGATCGGTAGTTGTCCGTGCTTTCTCTGATCAATACCAGGCGAATGCCGGCGCAGAACTCAGAAACGAGCCGAGGACCGCGCGTGATCTTACCTTCCTCTTCCTAGTTCTATCCTCACACACACTAACATGCACTCCAGTACCACAAATGTCGGGAGACCGGCCGGGAGCTTAGAGCTTGTGTCCCGTTTTTGGGATACCTGCCAGCGGTAGGTCGGCGCGGTATCTCGCCATGCAACTGAGGAAAGACTACCGCCACATTCCGAGCAAAAATGCACTACTCTTAAGGGACCAATGACCATACTAGTTGACGTGCTCGGAATCACTTACAATCAATCAATGCGACAAAAGTCATGGGATACCTCCTAATATCGTGTTGGACC